AAACACTGATAATATATGCATTATCCTTGAAACCGATTGGTCCACACCAGAGAAAGCTTTCTTTTGAGCCTCGTCTCAAACGGTGCATTCTGACCACAAGTGTTGTGAACACAAGTGTTGTGGTTAATGCAGACATGATTACTTGTAAAAGGTTTCAGTTTGGGGTTTGAACATCTTAACACCTGTTTTGTTGCCGGTTTAAAGGGGAAAAACCCTATTATCATATTTTGGTACTGCCAAAGGAGGTCCATGATACATATATCGTATTTCGCACATACTGTATTACACCACCACTACACTATACCCCATTAAACCAATCAATACTCTATGGCCGAGTCCTTAAATTGGCGGCTTGCTGGACAAATGTTACCAGCAAAGGCTCTTAGGGGTGACCCACGGGGAGAAATGGCTCACCAGTACATTAAGAGATACAGATCAGCAAGATGAGAGAGAGAACTAAATGGTAGAGGTGAATGTGTGGGAGCTGCAGACAAGAGAAAACATTGAGGTGAAAAAGAGATCAAAAACAAAAGATGAAAAAGTGCCACAGGCAACAACAATAAGAATAATATGCACTTAAAATAGCGCCTTTCACAAAAATGCTCGAGGCAACGTGCGTGAAAAGGAGATAATCGATAAAGAACCACCGGGTGAGCAAAACAAGGAGCCAAAACGTAACAAAACGAATGATAAAAACAGACACTTTTTTCACGAGATTTAAATGCTGTCACCAAGTATTCCAAAGCCTCATCGTACAGGTCACTTGGTCACAGAAATATGGGAACCATTGCAAGGGAAAGCGGAACAAGAGTTGAAGCGTGAGCAACAGGGCAGCATCAAGAGATGCAATTCTTGGAATTACACTGGGACATATTAAGTAACAAAATCAATTTAGAGACGTATTCGCTGTCAACAAACACGTGGGCTGGAGGGGGACGCGTCGTGTATGTATGAAGAGCCTCTTTCGCACCGTACCTCGCCACCCGTGCTAAATCAGCGGTGTGGTCATGGTGAGCCGCAGGGATCATGACGATGATCGGTGGTCGAGACTAACGACGGAGTGGCAGCCAATGGAGGGAACGAGCCCGAGAAGAGGTCGTCCAAGGCTGTGATGGAGGGATGAGACTAGCAGCTCCTGTGTTGTGGCGAGATGGGTCGCGTGACATTGTGTGTGTTGAACTTCTAGATTTGAAGCTTTCGTGACTGCAAGGATTCATACTCGTTGGCCTTTTCGGTAAAGTCACGTAGGTAAAACAATTAATAAAATAAATGAAAACAACTAAATTAAATCACGACGTTTCGGAGGCAACACAAGCCTCCCTCATCAGGTGTAAAAAGGTACAGCAAAATAACAGTTATTTTGAACTTATTTCGCACCGTACGTAGCCAACCGTGCTAAATCGGAGGTGCGGAGGAAGGACAACAAACTAATCACAAAAAGGAGTTTCTAAACAAATGAGTTTGTCACTCTCGACGATTTAAAGCGCACATTTGCAGCGGCTTCCTAATATCGAAAGGAAGAGCGTTCCAGACGGCCACAGAAGCGCATCTGAAAGCGCGAGAGCGGTGAGGCCGCCTTAGTTTGGTGGTTCTCTAAGAGCCGCTGCTGCAGAGAAGATGAGCGGAGTTTGCGTGACGGTGGTTTATCTGCTTGCCGAGATCAGCAAGGGATTGTGGTTTACTCAGGGGTACCCCTTCAACACGCGGTGCGTAGATCGTGGCCGATGATGACCGACAAACACAATCGCCACTGCACTTTAGTCCAATCAGCCGATGTGATTGGCTCTATGGACCAATATTGTCCAGCAGCAGCGGCGGTGTTTGTTGAAGAGAGCCAAACTCCAGACCGTCTGGGTCTCCATCAGCAGTCGAGCTAAACAAACATGCGACCAGAATGTTTGACGTTTACATTCAGTGACCAGAAGTCTTAATTCAGAATGAGCATCTTTATCGGTTGGAATTTCCCTAAACATAAGTTGGCACGTATGACGAAAAACACACAGACATTACACAAACACACAGACATTACCTGTCAACCCCTTAGCAGTGGCTGCCTTATCACAGACCAATGCAGACCTCATCGATCACCCCGTGGCCCTATAAACCTCAACGTCAATCCTACAAAGTCCCATCACAAGCGAGAAACAGACGAAACGCAGTGGTCTTTGCCCGTATTGAAACGTCTGTACGCCGTATGGACCTGACAACTTAACTTCCCTGTACAAGAATACGGAGTTGACCCGTAGGGGTTTGACATCTGTGCATTTATAAACAAATATTTTTCCTTTGTGACCGTGACAATCGTGTCGGGTGGCGGAGGGCAACCCGACACAGGCGTATTGCGGGGCAGCCGAACCGGGGACAATGCAACGACAAAGTACAACAACCCGAGGAGTACACAAAACAACAACGCAATCACACTGCACACAACAACAACAACTCTCTCTTCTCTCGTTCAAAACAACAACAACAACAAACATCAACAACCCCCACTGGCGCTTCGCCTCACGCCACTCGCCTCCTCAATGTAGCCGCGCAGCGCCTGCAGGTGCTCGGGGTCGTCGAAGAGCCCGTGCACGATGAGCACGGGCTTGTTGGAGGCTTCGACTGTCGCCAGTGGCATCAGCAGCGTGAAGAGCAGCAGCATCATCATCAGCAGCAGCGGCGGCGTGAGGAGCCGCCGACGCGAAGCCGCGAGCCGCAGCGCCATCGCCTCGCGTCTCCTCCGACGCCGGGTATGACGAGAATCGATCCTCTTTAATCGAAACTGACGTTTGTCGCGAGTCGATTCCGTATTGCCTGTGCGACGCGAGCAACGAGTTCTTGGAATCGATTCCGTCGGTCCCTGCGGTTGTACACGTTGAGAGCGTAAACAAGGGAATCGATTTGTGGCTTGAGTGTCGGCGTATCTGGAATCGATTGGTGTTTTTGGGGGGAATTTTGCTTGGTGTACGTGGATTGTTGCTTTGTAAAGATCTTTTTCTCTGGGGTTTATCTCGTAGGAATCGCTTAAGGGTCGCGCTGAATACCGATTGTTGTATTTTTATTATTTCCCTTCGACGTGACATTACCGAGAGAACAAGAAGACGATTGCAAGCTGTACATTTTGAATTAAATCTCTCGATGTTACGGGTCGCGATGGAGAACAAAAGCGCGATTTTAAATCGCAACTTGCTATCCAGCAGCTTGAATGCAAATAAAATGCTCTTAGGTTTTTTCGGTAAAGTCACGTACGGAAAAATAAAATAAAAATAAATGAAAATAACTAAATAAAACAATGTATTTTCATTTATTATTAATTTATTCTTATTATTTTTTACCTACGTTTTTTACCTAAGAGTATGAATCATTGCAGTCACGAAAGCTTCAAATCTAGAAGCAAAGAAAATGCATTTGCTTTGCAGGACGACTGCGTTCTTACATTGACTTAAGCCGTGAGACCCGAAGAACACGCGCCTTTGAATGAATATATCGTACAAATTCACGATATCGCCGCTTGTGTTGGCCAGGACCCCACAGTTTGGACGCAGTGTTGTGGACATTAACAAATGGTTAACCAAACAACCGCATTTGTTTCACAAGCCCAAGCCCAAAGTCACGAAAGCTTTAAATCGAAAGCCCAATTCTGTCGGCGAGGCTACTGCGAGGTCCACTTTCTGCCCTGCCTCCTCCCCCCTTCTCTCTCCCCACCTCTTGCCGATATAACCTCGTGCCACGGCAGATTCACGAGATTTAAATGCCGTCACCAAGTATTCAAAAGCCTCATCGTACAGGTCACTTGGTCACATGTCCAGGATGGATCATAAATATGGGTAGCATTACAAGGGAACGCTGAATCGTGAGCAACAGGACAGCATCAAAACGTCAGCAGTTTTGTTCTTGTTGTGATTGTTTCACCTGATGACGATTGCTTGCGTTGCGATCGAAACGTCGGTTGTTAAGATGTTCAAACACCAAATATATGTACTCTTTGTTTTTTTTTGGTAAAGTCACGTAGGTAAAATAATCAATAAAATAAAATAAATGAAAACAACTAAATTAAATCACGTTTCGGAGGCAACACAAGCTTCTTTCATCGAAACGTCGTGATTTAAATTCGTTTTCATTTATTTTATTGATTGCTTTACCTACGTGACTTTACCGAAAAAACCAAAGAGTATGAATCCTTGCAGTCACGAAAGCTTCAAATCTAGAACCAAATATATGCCTTTTGCAAGGAATCAAGTCTGCATTAACCACACGTACTCGTGGGGAATATGCAAACATGCTCTGATATTATATGCAGTCTTTGAAAAGGATTGGCATACGCCAGGTGTGATTGTGACCATGATTTTTCCACCCATCATCCCTTCCGTGTCACATACCTGTCAACCCCTTATCAGTGCCTTCCTTATGCCAGAACAATTCAGACCTTGATAATTGGGTTTTTACCCATTTATCTGGCAACAAAACTGACATCTTTATTTACGAGGAGTCATGTTTGCATAGACCACAATACCTGCAGTCATAATGCAAACAAAAAACATAACTCTGATCATGTATGCACTGTCCTTGAAGTTGATTGGTCCACACCCGAGACAGCTTTCCTTAGAGCCGTCTGTAAATGCTTACCCCGAACTCTCATACTCTGATGGTGCATTGTCTTTGAGTTGTGCGCCTTTTGGCGTCATCTGGTCCAACCCATGTGAGACTAGGCTGGTGTAAATTCAGACCTTATTGGTCACCTCGGTGCCCTTATCAATCTCAACGTTCATCCTAGTCCCATCAGAAGGGAGAAACACAAATAGACAAAACATTTTTTTCCCGAATTGAAACGGCTGTACGCCCGTATGGACCTGAAACCTCAATACCTCTGTATAAGAATGCGGCTAAACCGTATGGGTTGAGCCAAAGTGTCACCTATCTAGAAATCATCGTTTGTCTGACGATCTCATTTATAGAAAGGATTAGTTTGTTAAAAGTTGGCACACAAACACCAATAAAAACCCAGGAGAAAGTAATTTTGTCAAATGCATTTATTAAACAGGAAACATCCTAAAATGTATTTTTAACCAATTAATGAAGTATCAGATCAGAAATGTGTTTCTGTCAAAGAGCTGACACTATCCAGGGCATTTGTTTTTTCATGCCTATCAAAATCTGTGGACAAACTACCTCAACCAACGCTTAACATTATACTGCCATTGCTTAATAATGGAAAAGTTCAGCAAAAGTAATATTAAAATAACATTGGAATTAGATTCCAGAGGAATATTCATGCCCAAAAATTAACATGCAAGTCCACAGATTTCTTAGGCATTTGAAAGGTCTTTGAAAAATCCCAAATTAAAGACTAAAATAAGTACCGTATCTTGAAAAGCCACATTGGGATTTAAATTTGTAATTCCATGTATCCACAATCCACAGTGGCCGTCGGTTTCAATATATCGAGGATCACGGATTTAATCGACCACTGCAAAATAATATTAACAGCATCGAAATCATCGCAAATTCTAATTTGAGCACTGTAATTCAAATACATGAAAGGCCCCATATACCGGTCAGGGTTCAACATTTTGTTTAAAACACGTGGATTGTTCTCTCGACCAAGTCATAGCTTATTGCACGTCGATTCTTTCCGAAGATTACAAACAACATTAATATCCCTCCATCATAAGGTTCAAGAAAGCTAAAATACTTTAATCTTGCCGCCTGCTACTACAACAACGCCCGTGATCCATTTTCTCTCTATTAATCTTTGAAATCGAGACGTATAAAGTTGTCTAGATTTTTTTTTTTTAGGATGCGAGCCGGTTTGTACTCCCAGCCAGTCCAGTATAAGACAAGAGAAACAAAATCGAAGATTACCAATCACAACATAGGGGTAGGTTAACAGGAAAGTTTGAAAAGCGATCGGTCAGAAAGCCCTCATTTAATGCAAAGCATCCCCATGGCAGTACAAGCATGTAGAAAAATATGCCTGCAAGCGACGCATTCATCTAGCAGACACGGTCTGCACAATGGGCCCTTCAGCAGCGCTGCCAACTCCTGAAAACGGAAAGTTAACAAAAAAAATCGAACCTCCGTCATGAGATGTAGCCAAACAGGTCCTTTAAAGTCATCAGAACATCTCACGAGATGATTCACAGAGGACTACACACAGTAAACGGATACAGGATTGCTAATACACACTTGGAATCGCTTCTGAGCCTGCAAAATGTTGTATGTGGGTAATAAAGTAGCTAGATGTGTCGTTCGTCCCTTAGACAAAAATTTGACACAAGGGAAACCCAAAAAGTCGTCGCTACATATTCGTGACAAAATCGCTAAGTTGGCAACCACTGCTCTTCAGCGGGTTCGATGAGCATTCGTGACCTCGGGTCTCGGTCACAGGCTTGCCAATATTCTGTCTCTTTTTGGTGTCACTTCATACATTTGTTTTTTGGTGTAAATAATTGTATTTTTTTTGTGTGGTAAAGTGATAGGGCTGTGCAGCAAGATCCATTGGTTGTACCGAAATTCTATTCCCCCACATGCTCCCCACCTTTCATCGCCAACCCACACTGACCAGTGTGAAGGAAAGTCAAATCATTCTTACAAACAGCATATCATGGGGGAAGAGGCCCGAATCCAGCAGTGGCTTGACAAATTGGCCGTACAAAATGCATATCCTCAAATATGAAACGTGTCGATAACGCAGCTTTACACACAATACGTGTTAAACTACCAGTGCTTTATGAAACGGACTAAGTACAATTTTAATAAGACAATGGTAGTTACTTAATCAATCATGAAGTGCTATAAATGATCAAACGACGCAATTATTTGGGTTGCGCTGCGTTTTCGGGTTGTATCCAGAGCGGTTTCAGAATTATGTCCGACGTTTTGCTTGGGGTGTTGGGGAGCTTCTTTAGAACAAAACTTCGGACATCGTGCTGAAAAAGTGGTGCCGATTCTAAAATACACGAGATGTATAAAGAAATGCAAACAAATCTATGCAGTAGGCATTACCAGGATAATTCCGTTTGACTTCTGTAAAACCGTTCCTTACACAACATGAACATTCGTGGAGATCACAAGAAATGTAGCCTTCAGAGCCTTGGGCCCAGTTACAATGACTTGGGATTCTCAACACCAACTGAAGAAACCGAAATAAAACTTCCTCGCCTAAATGTTATGAGCATTCCTCTTTGGGTCTTTCGGTAAAGTCGCGTAGATAGAAAAATAATAGATCACGACGTTTCGATCGCAACACAGGCAATCGAAGACCCAAAGAGTATGAATTCCTGCAGTCACGAAAGCTTTAAATCAAGAGTTATGAACATTACTTAAGTAATCGGAATTCAGAAAACAAGGAGCCATTATCTTCTTATTATTCGCCCATGTCATTTGCTAAAAAAAAGCAAACTGTCTGGGCCATCAGCGTTGGCAAACGGTTTGCATTGGGAAAATCAGCATCATGACATTTATTCACCCATGAGAGCGTAACCGAGCCACATTTATTTTGAACGAGGGTCTTGATAAATGTTGCCGCGGTCTGATGTTGTTGCTTATGCGATTTCCACATCGAGCAACTTACGGGCAATTTTTTCAAATTTGGCAACGCCGCTGTAGTGCCCGTGCGAGGTGCAGTGCAACGCGTGAGGGATAATACCACTTCCTGGAATTTCCCCACTCTTTTTACATGAATTGTACACGAGAGATGTTTGGACAGTGGCTCCAAATTGAAGTTAAGGCACCGCCACATGATGACATTTAGGAGAGAAACAATACAATATGATTTTAAAACTTAGCAAGCCTAATAACAGGACATAGAACGGATGCAACTAAATCACCATTTCCACTCTCAATGCTCATATACAAATATATTAAATACTCTAAATTATATCATGGGTAGCCATTAAAGTGGTTTTGTCACCAACACCTCTGCTCTACACTACATGGACCGGGGAAAAGGCTCAGTTTGTAAAAGTAATATAAAAAGAGCGCTACATTTACAGCTATTAATGTGATGTTATAATTGGGCTTTCAGTGCCAATAGATGGAATGGCACTAACATTATTAAAATATGGTTTCTATATTTCTTTACCACATAACCCACTGTTCTGAACGGCAGTGTTGTATCCTAGAACAGCGGATTAAAACCTAAATTCAGAATGATCCTGTATAAATCACAACAGTGTTTATTGTTCGCCATCACGTGCAGAAAACGATTTTCACCACAGACGTCACTTATGCTCAGACGGCCTCAGCACAGCTCAATGGAGAACCAATGCTTCCCTCAAATTTTTTTTTTAACGCAAGGCTGGCTTTAAGATAGGCAACACAGCTGTCAGATGGCAGTGAGAAAGTTGCTAGCTTCTGCTGGGGTGATTTTGAACGTGTCTAAAGAGTTAGTGTATTGGGCGTATTCGGTGATAATGTACGCAAATCGATTCTTTGTTAAGAATCAATATTGCTGCCGCATCCATTAAAATAGATGTTTATTTTTGCGTACGATTGTTTAAATGTGGCTCGTGTGAGCATGACCCCACCATGCGAGGTGACCAGTGACCCTCTGAGCAATTGCGTCGAATGGGAAAAAATATTCCTCAAATAAACACATCCATCCCTTATAAATTATTCAACTGCAACCAAACATAACACAATTAAATCAAACAAAAAAAGTCGAAACGGGGAAATAAATATAGAAACCAAAATAAAAACTTAAAACCCAACTTATAATGCATTTGTCGTGACATGTGAAGCGCACACAATGGAATGTGTGCCGCTGCGTTGCGTGTTTGGTGAAATTCTTCACGAGCCGCCGTGGTCTCGAAGAATAGACGGTTGTTCCTCCTTTCAGCTGCAACAACCAAGAGACTGCTCACAAGGCATCGCATTTGTCAAATATAAGCCACGGAGAACAGTCGTGAGGACAAATACCCAACACAAACACCTAAAAGAGGAATGTGTAAAATGCCATGTTGCCTTTGGGGCCATTCGACCAGCTGTTGACATCGTTATAAACGCCCCCACCATAGCGCAATATATGCATTTCTGTTTAAATTAATCACTTATTCGATTATTTTGTCAGACAAACGTCTCAAAATACACCACAAAAGTTTCACTGCAATTTTACCCCCCACGTCTCGTGATGGTGAACGCTTGCTACCTCTCAGCCAGGCGATTGCAAACCAATCGAATCCACGGCGCCTCTTTTCTAACGTGAACAAAATAAAATCACCAGACACCTCACCTTTATTCCCAAGACCAATTTCCTCTTTATTTTTTCTTTAAGAGCAAATGAAGCACTTAAACCGTGACCACCACCCTGTGCTGTTACAGCACAGAGTGGGGTATGGCTTACATCATTCACAGTCAACATTCAGACTCTAACCTGCTAAATAAATTCCATCAATATCCATCAACCTTTTGGCGTGCGGTGCGTGTATGTGCGGGCTGTTTATATATTTATTAAAATTCTTTACAGACACTGAGAAGGAGAAATTCGCCATCATTTGGCAGTGCCCGGTGTGAAGGCCGCAATGCTCAGATTACTTCATGGCGGGGTACTTGCGCGCTCCCAACCGACCCCCTCTCTGGCCACCGGCTGGCATCCCCGTGGGCTGAGGAGACAAAATCAACGCGTCGATGTCATTTAAAGGTGAAAGACAACAGGGTTACGTAGTCATAACTAGGAAAGAAGGACCGGGGTTCGATTCCCCGACTAGAGCGCCTTTGCTGTAGACGTTGTACGCTCTCCCCCTGGTCCTGCATGCATTTCTTTTTACAGGTAGGAACAACAGGTTCCACACTGCCCACCAGGGATTATTTGTCTGTCGTGCATATTTGTCTGTCGTGCACGAATGCGCTGTCCAACCAAGTTCCTACCTGCCCACTCCGAAGGAACGTGTTTTAGGTTCTCCAGTATCCTCAGATTGTTAAAAAGAGTTCCATAAAAGTTACCCGAAACTACAAAAAACATAAAATGCAGGTTGGGCTAGGGGGAGACAGGAGTCCATCCACAGGCAATCACAGCTTTGGATGGATGAATAACTGAACCCTATGGCGATACCCCGGGGTCCCATAAGCCCCCGGCTCTCGCATAAACTGCGTTGCAACGATACGGCAATCCATTCCTCTTGACGAGCTCTACACGGTGCGCTAATCAAAGTTTTGTTCATGACTACGTCAATTTTGGCAACGCCAGGTGCTTCGTGAAGAACAAGAGGATTGATTTCTGGTGGGTCGTGGCGTTTATGTGCGCGGTGGGACGGAGTCGCCAAAAATAAATAAATTATTTACGATTTTAACTTCTGTTTATTCGGGAATCCCGGGGTCCCGCCATGAGGTTCAATGAAACAAATGCATTGTGATGATCGATGTCAAAGAAATGTGACGGTTGCAAAACAGAAGGAACGAACTGCTGCTGATCTTGCACAACAGAGGAGCGTTGCGCAACGTGTGGGGACCTTTGCCCCATCTGGCTTCAGCAAAATGCCGCCGTGTTTACTGCATACGCAGCATGAACCACGATCATCTCTGCTTCTATTAAAATGTAAGCAGTGTAAAGTGCATGATAGAATACTAGCGTTTTACGTTTCACGGGTACATCAAACCCATATTTTGCAACTTCATTGCCTTACGTTGCCTTTACAAAATCACTTCCCCCAATTCATTGCCACGACGCACATTTCCCCCCCCGTTCTCCTGTGGAGTTTGGAAATGCACTTGCATTGAGACGCTATATGCATCCAAACTATAGGTGGTGCAGACAAAAGTGAGGGACCTTAGAAATGCAGAGTAAATTATAACAGATGCTCACAATGTCCATCGTTGCTTGGACACATGTCTCACTCACAAATTAACACACAGGATTCTCGAACAGTCCTTTGACAAATCCACATCGACCTTACCACGCTCGTATTTGTGCCTTCGGTTCTTCAATGTCTCCGGGATGATTGGCCATAAACGATTGATCTCAAATGCCCCCACAGAACAAAAACCAAGGGGCGCGAGGTTGCGGTTAACCCGAGTGGCCATTCAATGGGACTTCAATGGGCAAATTTTCAGTTCATTTCTTCTCTGTACATACCAGACAACAGTATATTCATGACTTTTGCTGCACCCTGTCCTGCATTGAGCCTCACCTGTGTGAACTGCGTGGGGTTGAAGAAGGGCACAAACCCTGCAGCAGGGCCCTGTGGCTCGGGTGCATTCGCCTGCGGATTTGCACGAGACAAGAGGTCGCGACGTTACGCAACGCTCATTAAAACTAAAAATGCTCAAGAATCTTTTAGTGAAGTTTAGTAAGAAGCATTCTCACTCGTGTAGAATTGAGAAGCGTCCTGGGAAAAAATGCTGAAAAACAAGTTTTATTTTAAAATAATACCCGCTTCTGGTTTCAGTTACAATCCACTCTTGTTAGATTGTATTGTATCCTACGGCCACGACATCCACACAATGAACTTTACAATTCCCTCGATTAATCCACTTAATGCATCTGCTTTTAACAAAACTCTTATTTCTGGACAAATATACATTTGTGGGTTATCAAGTTTCTTTCCAGGACACCCCTCAATTGCACATATCTCTTTTTTATGAAGGTTACTACTGAGCATAGGGCCAAAAGGCCTAAATGCCAAGCAAATGACAACAAACAGCACAACTGAAGGTGTGATAGATACGAGTTAAAACATTTGTTGAATTGAGCAACGTTATTATAAGAACTTGGGGGAAAAAAAACAGTCGATGGCAGGGAATTTCAAAGTCAGCCACACAGCAGATGCTCGATTAACTACACGTATTGCGAAGCGTCGTTGCGTAGACGAGCACTTTTTTGTGAAATTAACTGAAACAGACGGCATTTGCCACAGCGAAGGGTGGGCAGCGCGAGTCAGAGTAAAGCACTGGTGGAGAGGAGGGTGCAGTAGAAAAAAGGTGAATGACTTCACAATATTGGAAGTTAACCTTCAAGTATTCCAGCCAGACAATGAAGCTCATGGTAGAACCCTACGCAGAGTGACTCAAAATCTGCTTCGGACGCCGAGGTTTGGAACTGTTGCAGCCTCACGACACTTTAAACTACACTATACACTACTATACATTACACTATACACTACGCACTTTACTGTTACAGCCTGACGTCACGATACACTAAACCAGTGGTTCTTAACCTGGGGCGAGGCACCCCCTGGGGGTGCGAGACATGGCCAGATGTTGTTTTTAGAAGGTAAATCATCGAAAACACAAATTAAGCATGGGCATGTGCGTACAACTACTTTGTTTCATCAGACCTATGGATTTATTAACGTTATATATTTTTTTACGATTGAAAACAAGGCTGCAGTAAAGGTTAGGAACCACTGCACTATACTATATACTATACACTACACACTACTACACACTACACTACACACTACTACACACTACACTACACACGACACTATACTCTTACGGCCTCACGTCGGTTCCCTGCTATCGCCCCCTCGGTGTAGAACTCTCTAATCCCTTTGCACATCCACATCATCAAATGCACTCTGACTTTTAAGAAACATCTAAAGGCATCTATCTGTGTTGGTAAGGCTTTCGAGCAGCCATCAGCTTGGCTCCGCACCACTGAGTTGATGACTTGTGTGCAAAATAATTATTATTATGACTTGAAGGGTGACAGCTGGAAGACTAATAATATGGGTGTGGTCAACAATGAATGGAAGAGCAATTCATAAGGGAAATAAAGTAGCTCGTGTGGTAGGTACATACATAGGCTGTGTGTCCCCCAATCTGTCTGACATGAGTTTGAAGCTTGCATTACGAAAATGTATTTTCGAGTAACAGTAACGTAAGCTGTCAAAAGGACCATCAATATGGATAGTGGCGTTGGGACTGACGTCACAGTGACGAGGAGTGGTATAATGGCAAGCCTAACGATTACCTCATCATCTTTTTTCATTAACAAAGTTCTCAACTCCTATTGGGCAGCCCAGACATGCAGCCTTGGCACGTATCAAGAAGGGATTTGAGCAGTCTTCTTTTAAATGACTAAACATCCGTTGGATTTTAGAAATAACACAGGCATAACCCAGTCTCGCTTCTCAATGCTACTAATAATGTGCCCTTAAACAATTCTCTGTTGAGGCATCACTGCTATGTCCTGTATGTAAAGTGACATATACGGCACGGGGACTCTCTGTTAAAACTATAAACTAAACTATTTTTTTATTTTAGCAGGTGAGGCCCACTGAACTATATAGCTCTTCAGAAGCGACCTGGCCACATGAAAGCTCAACGCGTGATGTTGTTTCTAAACGTGGAGAAAAATCGACGCGACCAGGGGAAGTACTGCAAACTCCAAATGTACAGACGTCAGAGTCGGGATCAAACCCACAACCTCTTGTACACCAGGCGAGGTAGTTAACATTTCGCTACCGCGTTGTCACCATACCTGTACATGGGGGCCTGGTGCGTCGGTGTGGGTGCCGACGGGCAGCGCAGGGCCATCCGCAGCCCCTGCAGGTGGCATCTCCTGGGGCTGCTGCTGCTGCTGCTGCTGTTGTTGTTGCTGCTGCTGCTGATGATGTTGCTGCTCTTGCTGATGCTGCTGCTGTTGCTGCTGCTGCTGATGATGTTGCTGCTCTTGCTGATGCTGCTGATGCTGCTGCTCGACGGGCACTGCACACGCGCAAACATTCGGCTCCCATTGGACTTCAGGAAGACGAGTGGGCCTTATGGCCAGTACAGATATGTAGGGTAACGCAGCCTTGTAGCCAACAGATTTGTAGCCAACAGAGCACTTTCACTCACACAGCCCAGTAGCTGACACGAGTCTATCAAGTAACAGTTTAGTTACAAACACACGCAAGTAACTAACGCACTCAAACACTCGAGTAAGTAATAGAGCCCAGCAGCTAATATACTTTAGTGGTTAACACAGTCCAGTTGCTAAAGCAGACTAGCAGATAAAACACTAGTATTTGGCACAATTTAGTAGTGAACACCTTAACACTCTAGCAACAGTCCAGTAAATAAGAGCCCAGTAAATATTTATGTATGTTGAACTTCTTTTGCACCATACATAGCTAACCTTGCTAATCGGAGGTGCGGGGAAAGCTTAATGATTAACACTCCAGTAGCTAAATGATTTGAGTAGATAACAAAGCGTAGTAGTTAACACCATCTAGCAGCTAACATGGTCCAGTAGCTAACACAGACCTATGGTTAACAGCCCACTACATAAAGCTTCATCTGCTTAAGCAGCTCGCAGCTCGGCTGCAGAGCTGCAGTGAAGCAAAAGCCATTGTTGTACTTTACTATGCTCCCCACTTTCACCAACCTGCACTAAGCAGCATCGTGAGAAAAAGTAAAATAACTCAATAGGCTCACATGACAAACGGAGGCCCTTGTCCAGCAGTGGATTGACAAAATTGCTGTCCGTACGTACCTCGTGTGTTGTTAAGTATGGGATGAATCTCCCCTCTGTCCTGCGGCCTAGCTGACACTGTGCTGTGACTATCCCGGGAGGGGCAGGCAGGCGCACTGCCGCCTACCTGGGCCGGACGGCACAAAGAAGTTGCTGCTGAGACTGGCCATGGGGGCGAGCGGAGCAAACATCTCCGGAGGTGGCGCGGTTGTCTGCGGAGGCGCAGCGGCACCACCGGGGTTCATCACGTCCACGTAGCGGCCCCGGCCGCGTGCGCCAACTGCTCGCGTGGGCCAGAGGGGGACACGTCACGCGCTCGTCACGCGCTCGTCACGCGACCGTCACGCGCTCGTCACGCGCTCGTCACGCGCTCGTCACGCGACCGTCACGCGACCGTCACGCGACCGTCACGCGACCGTCACGCGCTCGTCACGCAAAGGGGCGAGACGATATGAAAGGGTTTTAGCACTTACGCTAAACCCGGTTTTCATAGTTGGCCACCGACACGCTCCGGCTGTACACAAATGTCGAGGTGAATTGTCGGGGGTGAGATGTAACACTCGGGGTGAGACGTCATGTGAGGGGCGAGACGTCACGTGAGGGCGAGCTGCTAGCTGAAATAAATGAACAATAAACTGCCAAGCTGTAAAATAGAATTGCTGTTTACAGATTAATGGGTATATAACAAGGAGGGAAGATCAAAGATCCCACGTTTGGCTTCAGAAAGTTCGAGGGCAAGTGATGATAGTGAATTTATGAAAGTGCCAAGTTCACATTATGGCCCCTCAAGAATTCCAGGGCAAATGATGTGAGCAAGTTTTTCATGAAGGCCATAAAGGAACTCAAGAACACTGATTGATAATCACCACATGCCCGACTATGTCTTTGCCTTGCTAGCGTTGAGAATGATTAACATCTCACAAATGATACGCAAAATAAACGATTGAATGGCGGCAAAGCTAAGAGTTGCGAAGGCGCGCGACTTCACATCGCTCGCTCACCGGCTCTGCGAGAGAACATATTGACCCCCCCCTGGGGGGCAGATGTTGCTGGGAGCCCCCCAGGGCCCTGTTGACCCATGGAGCCAGGGGCGGCGCCAGCGCCGGGGAGTTGGGCCACTTGCGGAGCTGAAATTGGTGGCGGAGGTGGCGGCTTGCTCTGCAAAAAAAGCCCACCACAGTCCATCCTCACATTAATACGTGTTTCACTTTGGAATAATTTATTTTATTACAATGAGTGATCCCGATTCCGCCGCGAGCGAGTGCCGCGCCTACGGGTTTGTAAACCCGTAAGCTCGGCACTCGACAGCTCGTCAGGGCTGTTCCCTGCGCTCTCGTACCTCATCCTCGGGCTCCTCCAGGTTGACCCATTTTTTCCTCTTGTCATCCCACACGATCTGAGACGACACGCACACACACACACACAGGTGCGTGCAGACGGTTTTACTCCCCTCGACTTAGACACAACCCTTTTCCACCGACGCATCCGTGTCACGCCAGGGTCATGTGCCGAACTAGGTCGGCGCGGGTTTGGGAAGCTCAAGGTTTTTTTCCACAACAGAAGCAGAGCCGTGCCGCAGACGTCACACAACGAGGAGGGATGCGTTGTACTGACGCCAGATGCACTGGACCCATCATTAGCACCATCCTTCGGTCCTAAATCAGCCCTAAGCTAGCTTCGGATGTCTCGTAAGGCCAGCGTATGATGGATTTGTCACTGCTCTGCACGGCAAATAACGAGTAGAAAACAACCTGTACCCTGAGCGCCCTGCACTGGCTTCGCTCAATGTGCCAGTAGAAAATGGATTTTACACTTCCCCCCAAAGTGACTTTTGCCTTCAAGCCTCTGACTGGAAGGGGGGAACAAGATGTGTCCCTTAATTGGTAGGGAGACGCAACACTGATGACCACGATTATCCATTTTATTTCGCCTGTGACCAAATCAACCGATTAGCATGGTTGGCTACGTACGGTGGTGCGAAACAAGTTCAACATAAAATGCGTACGTATCGCTCTAAGATGTATTTTTCGGGTTGTACTGCGTGTTGTTCGGCACAATATCCGACATTTCACTCCATGTTCTGGGAGCTTCTTTCGGAAACAGATTCCGCATTGTCTCACTCCTACATAGCAGGCAAGCCGTGCGATCTTGCATATGGTGTCTGGCAGCGAGACTCACAGATTTGTTTTTGTCCTCCGGCAGATGGGCTTCATTCTTCTTTGGGAGAAGCCAACTGAACCAGCCACCTTTAGACCCCTGCGTGTGCACGACACGCCAGCCACACAGCACACACACACCAGGGACGTGCGGTCAGGGGAGGCAGGGGAGGCAGAATAATCAAATACAGATTTTTCCACTGATCTGTGTTATAAATGTCATTTCTGTACGATTCCAATAATTTTTATAGTCAAAAATCGCCAAATTTGCGGAGAGGTGAGGCAGCGACAAGCTCAGCCTCCCCTCTGATTGCGCAACTCTACAGTAACTGGATGGAGTGCGGGCAATAAGCGCGTGCCTGTTACTATCTCAGTATGTCACCAATGTAATGTTTGTAGACCCCTTCATTTCATGTCCTCGCCTTCCATACTCCAGGTAACTTATTTCACGTATGTTTATAAAGATATTTAGGCTCGCTGGTCTCGTCATGAAACTGAAATGAAAAAGCACCAGGGGAGGCAGCCATCACATCTGAGGGGGATGTGTCTAACACGCCCCCCTCAGTGAGGACACGCCCCCCTCAGTGTGTGAATCTGGCTCTGATACTAGCCAGTGCCTCCCCAGCCATTGACCTCACCACACGTCACGTCACTGACACACACAGGCCAATGGTTACAACGCTTCACGAAAGTTATCCATCAGGTGGCTGCGAAAAGAACCATGTCCTCAAAATGATTTTGGCAGATATACCGTGTCCCTGCGTATTACGGGGATTTTTTGGAGATCAATAAAAGTATTCAATAAGTTTGCCACAAGGCGACATCTGTAATAATTATTATAAAAGCATTGCAAGAAATGTCAAGACTGTAAAGAAAAGTGAATGCTATGAGTTGTACGGCATTGAAATGCTATAGATCAATTTAATGGACAGCATTTCCAGAACACTGAGGACACACCATATACACTGTGTGATATGCGAGAATGAGCGGCTCAGCATGGTGCACGGCGACTCAACACTGGGCTGTTCCGTCCTCAGTGTACAGCATGCCATTGTAATGCTGTGTGAGCCTATCCACTTTGCATGGGCAGAAGCGTAGCTAACGAATGTGCAGACGATGCGCATCTGCACCACCTGAGACCAAAGATCTACGTCCAAAATCTCTTCAGGTGATGTCGGGCATACAGAGTAGGGGGCAACGCGATACAACCCACCCTGCTGCAGAGGGTAATGTCCGTCACGTGACAAAGCCATATTTAAAATTCTCAATAGTTAGAATTTAGCCAAACTTAAATACAGAACAAAACATTTCATGTGATGTTATTTTTAAAAATCTATCATCGAAGTCCACAACACTCCCTACATTTGAGAACGCAGTTTAATAACAGGCGGCCGTCTGGATTTGTATCGAGGTTTATGGCATTGCCAGCTCAGCGCTCTGACATCTGAGCCGCCCAGCCATCTCCTCGCAACCGCTGCACGACGCTCAATGCTGAGAGCGAGACCTCGGGCGAGGTTCATGAGGGTGTGTGGGGGGGTGGTCACAATAAAAGACAAAGATTTCCCATTCAGCCTGAACAGACTGTTTGGGGCAAGTGCTGTTAACGAGAAGCACCTATGAAGGCCGGCACGGCACACGAGTGGGTGGTTGGCGAGCACCACGCCCGACCGTCTGTCTTCCCCAGTGGCGACGTTTACACACCGCACCAGGTACTCATTTGATGCCGAGTCGACCTAGGGGAGGCCCAGGACAGGTTCAGATAATCATCACTGGTGTTGGTGTTGGCCATCAGCGGGAATGGAACTCGGGTCGCTGGATTGGTCGCGCAGGGCGCTAACCTGGGCACCACCGCTCCCCCACGTCCGGGCAGGGTGCGACACTCACCTTAGCTTTGTCCGCGGGTTTCTCCTTGTCCTTCTTATCCGTCTTGTTGGAAAGCAGCTTCGCGTCGGGCGCCATCGGATTGCTGTCCACCCCGATGGAGTGGACGGATGACTCCGACAGCGTGCGCGAGCGCCGGCCCGTGGCCTGAAAACACCGGCGCAGAGAGGCAACGAGCGTGTGAGCACACGGACAGGTGCGTTCACATGTGCAGGGAGATACATGGAGTGACAGAAGCAATGTATATATGTATGGAGGAAGAGAAGCACAGAGACTTGGGGATGTAATGAGGACGAGCAGAGATATTGAAAGAGAGAATTGGGGATATATTGAGATGAGCAAAGAGATGTGGAAAGAGAGAAATGGAGATGTATGGAGTGAGAAAAGCAGTGAGAGATGTAGAGATGTATTGAGAGGAAGCAGACAAAATGAGAGAAGAATAGAGTGAAATGTAATCTTTGAAGAGAGAGATATACAGCATCAGAGATGCAGTGAGAGCGAATGAGAAAGAGAAGCAGAGTAAGACAATCAGCCAGCATGTCAAACGTTATATTCTACGAACGTACATTTTTCCGGCCTTTTAAGCAACACTCTTTTAAGGTTTTAGCGCAACTACCATTTATAATATGAACGAGTTTTTGATTGCAATAGAGGAGTTTGATATAAATGCTGTTTATGCAGTTACATTTTTTCTGATTACCATTGTAAACAAAAAGGCATGCTTTAAAAGATCACCAACAAACATTCAATTATTCACCATAAACCCACCACAAATATTCACCCCGCAATCATCAGGTCCAACACCAATAATCACCGGACACACCACAACAGAAGGGCAGTTACCAACAAATCAAAGTGAGTTTCAGAGAGAGACCATGAGATTGTTTAAGACAGACACAAGACACCGTCACCCAGACAATATTCAGATATTATCGTGGGTCAAAGCCACCAATGTCACCACACCACGCCGCCGACACTTTATACGAGGCATGCTACCACCAAAGCCACTCCACGTGAAAGCACCCCCTGTATCAAACAGATTGACACATTCCCAGACAGACCACCTGAATGATCATTCATTGGTGTTAAATCACTGGACATTCAGCCAGGGACAATTAATTTCCACCCCCCCCCTTCCATTCAATCCACTTTCATGGCCGATTTAAATGACCACCACATCGCACAATACTGACGTTGAGCAGTAACTCTTTTTTTCATGAAAATACAAATGCTTCAAAGGATATTTGTAATTCGGATATAAAAAAAATTCTGTTCAGCGCTCAAGCCACTGGACAAAACCCGTCCAACATTTATCAAATTTCATGACACGCATCCGTCTAGATTTTGGGCGTAAATTTTGCCATTTTGACACCACTTGTGCGATGGGCGGCCAATCAAAGCAGTCACGAACAGTGGGAGGAGGATATCACGCGGGGCATGTGACACCAGATGTGCGCCGAGAGCAGCACACTTGCGTACCCTGTAACTCGACGTCTCCGACAGGCGCGAGCTCCGTCGCCTCTCCTAGACAAACGTCACACACGCCGGTCCTTGGGGACACAAAACCTCCCGGACAAACCGAAACATCGCCATGCAGTTCATTGATATGATGTAGAAGCCTTGTCCGTCTCAAAGCTTGCCCAGTGGCAGGCAGTGCGACGGCACCTGGGGCCCACGGCTCGGAGGGGCCCAGGCGACGGGCCACAAATAGGTGGGAAAATCAACATTGGTTTAACTATTTAATTATTTATATCAGGGCCCACACCAACCGGGCAATGCCACGAGGCTTTCACCTCGTCTCAATTGTTCTGTTTGTCAATCCATGACACTTGAGTTGCATTTGCGTGCATTAAGGTCACAGTTCCATATACTGCGGAAGCTGGATATAAGCAGCACAGTTCTTATTGTAATAAAAACAGTTCTCATACGATCAACACATCCTTACATTTGTGGGGGGGGGGGGGGGAAGGCGAAGGGCGACTTCTGATACAAGCACACCAGTCCTTACCCCCAAGGGACATGCGCTATAACCCAGTTTCTCCCGAATTAAGTTAAGGCGTACGATGAAATGTTGCAGGAGCCTGTGTATTCTGTTGTTTCATAATGATGCACATGATGTACTGGAACAGTTGATTCTATACAAACACGATGTCTAAACACAACCACATTTTAAAAGAAGTCGCTCCAAAGGGACGCATGCTTTAACGCGAGACTGTGAGGAAGAGAGGGGGGGGGGGGAGCCCACGGTGCAGCACCCAGAGACCACGAGACTGTTCCAAACAGACACAAGACACCATCACCAAGACAATATTAAGACATCATCACGGGTCAAAGTCGTTTGATGCCACCACACCTTGATAATGCTCTTTCTACAAGGCATACTACCGCCAAAGCACTCCACATAAACACACCCCACACGCATCACCAAAAAAATTGACACATGCCCAGACAGACTACCTGTGAGTGGTAATTAATTGGGGTTAAACCACTGGAAATTCAGCCAGGGATATTGTTTTGCCCATATTCAATCCACTTTCGTGGCTCATTTCAATGACCACCAACACCGCAGAGCACTGTTAAGCAGCAACTACTTTTTGTACGAAAATACAAACGCCTCAAAAGATGTTTGGAATTCAGATATTAAACGTTCAGCAGACATTTCAGCTCGCTGCTCGAGCCACTGGACAATACGCGTCCAAATGTTAATCAGATTTCACGTCATCGATTGTCTAAGACTTCACGTGCAGATTTTGCAATATTTAACGAATACTGCTCGTGCGGTGAGCGGCCAATCAAAGTAGTCACGAACAGTGGGAGGAGGATATCACGCGGGGCATGCGACACCAGATGTGCGCCGAGAGCAGCACATTTGCATACCCTGTAACTCGACGTCTCCGACAGGCGCGAGCTCCGACGCCTCTCCTAGACAAACGTCACACACGCGCCAGGTCCTTGGGGACACAAAACCTCCCGGACAAACCGAAACATCGCCATGCAGTTCATTGATATGTGGGAGCCTCGTGTGTGTCTCATTGTTTGCCGAGTGGCGTAGCCACCGAGTGCAACGGCACCAGGGCCCACGGATCGGAGGGGCCCACGGATCGGAGGGGCCCAGGTTCCGGGCTACAAAGGTGGGAAAATCAACTTGGGGTCGGCAATACATTTTTTACATTGAGGCCAACAATGAAGTTTTGCAGGTGTTCGTGCATCCTATTGTTCTCCATATGGATGTACACAATATCCTGGAATCATTCTATACAAAATTATTTTTACACGATTTAAATGGAACGACATTAAACAAGGAAACATGCTTTATTGTGAGACTGAGAAAGACGGAGATCTTACTCTTCTTATTCTTTGGGTCTTTCGGTAAAGTCACGTAGATAGGTTGATATTTTATCCTTTTGGCGGTAACCCGGGGTACCAAATAATACAAAATGGCCGAGGCAATTAAATATTTTATTTCTGGGACACTATTTTTTCCAGGGGTGTACTTAACTCCGCGACTGGGGTACCAATCAATCCAAAATCAGTGCCACTCCGCGATGTCGAAACGCAGCGAGGACGATTGCGCCGAAACGCTGAGCGCTCGTATGCACCAGTGCATCGTGTACAGCTCGAGATGAGTCGATTGCTGCATCCCCGACCATCAACAGACTAAAAATGACTGCATCACGGACATTATGCGAGAGCCGGGGTGCTATGGGACCCCGGGGTACCGCCGTAAGGTTCATATGCTGGTGGCGATGTTACCTTACAAAACACTGCCAACAAGATGGTGTGGGAACTCGATAGACGTAGAAATAGCTTGTTAATGGGGTCTGCATGGAAACTGATTTTCACCTCACTAACCAAATGATTCTTCATTATAAAAAATTTACTTAACAAACATAAACAAAGATCCCCGTATAGACTTAGCAGACTGTTGGGGCAAGTGCTGTTAGCGAGCCCCTATGAAGGCTGGCACGGCACACGAGGGGGTGGGTGGCCAGCAACACGCCTGGCCGCCTTTGTCTCCCCAGTGGCGATGTTTTTACACACCGCACCAGGTACTCATTTGAGGCTGAGTTGACCTATGGAGGCCCAGGACTGGGTCAGATAATTATCACTTGTGTTGGTGGCCGTGAGCGGGAATCGAACTTGGGTCGCCGGATACGTAGCGCAGCGCGCTAACCGCTTCACTACCGCACCGCTCCTCACACTTGAATACTTTTAGTATTGTGCAACCATTGGTTACCAGGTTGATATACTACTGAAAAACACCACCGACCTTAAAATGACAGCGTTAGTACAAGTCAGAGTCGTTAAACACAGACGGAATAGTTTGATTGCTGAGGCCGAGGCATACGTGTCCGCAAACGGAAGAGGGCACAGAAAACATGAAGACTCTTCTCATCGGCTCATGATCGCCGCCGCCAACATCATCTGCTTCATTGTAATACAGCACCTTCCTTCTGCAATACAAGTCTTTTGGGTGTTATCTCCCAGTGTGCCGAGGGTGTTCGCCGAGCACTTGTTTCCTTACACATGTAATACACTCGTGATAAAACACCAACGGCAACAACAGCCGTTGTGGTTAGGAACCTCCTGGACAAAAAGAGTATTGGTATTCTGTGAAGCTTTCCTGGATAAAGAACATGAGTGATTAACATAATATATTCAACTGCGTAGTGTTGCAGCAAGAGTACTCTACTCAGCAGATCGGGGACGACTGCGGCGCATACACACACACACACCCACCCCTTCACACCCCCCACCCCCCAACACGCCTCCGCTAGCCAACTCACCATGCGGACGCCATCATCAAAGTGGTCCCTCTGCTGGTTCGTTGGCCCTCCGGCGCCATTCTCCTGCACCGTCGCGAGGGAGGGATCACCTGCGGGACACGCCATGGAGCCACCCCCCACCCCCATCGTCGTTCAGCTGGGCCGTTACCACGTAAGGCACATGTGCACATGTACAGCCCTTTCATCAATCCACTGCTGGACGAGGGCATCACGGCGCCGTGTCGGGTTGTTGGACAACAAATGTGCGACATCACGATAGGGCATCATCTCGTCGTACTTGCAAATATAAATTGTCGCTAAACAAATACTTTCAAGGTTAAACCACACTGTTGGAAAGCATTGCAGAATCCGTGCATATGCATGATTATTATTCCTTATTCTTATTTAATACGTGCAGTAGACACCATTAGAGGGAGCGTGTACCTTGCTGAAAGCTCATCTGCTGTGCATGTTGCGCCGGGGCCTGCGGAGTTTGCATCCCGTATCCCACGCTCTGCGGCTCCCCACTGTGCATCGCCATCCCCGCAGCTCCATACGAGGTGGCCTGACCCACGTAGCCAACACCCTGTGCATGCGAGAGACAACAGCTGGGTAAATCCTCTGATGCAATCGTCATGAAGCAAATTTGTATCCCATTACAAAAAAAGGCACCTTTATACTTGACAAATACTGCCCAAAGACTTTTACACAGCCACACCCACTCTAACATTGGCCACACTCACTATCCAGGTCGCCCCACCCATTATCCAAGCAGCCCCTCCCCCACTATCCAATGTAGCCCCACACACTGCCCACATCTTGAGTCAAGCATGAGGCCAAATAGTTGTTGAACCGGGACAAATTCCCGACTTTGGCAAATAAATTTGCGATACCGGGGACAGGAGGACGTTCATTTAGTTGTATTGCATCTGCCGTGTCGACATTCTTAAACCCGTAATCAAAACGATAAAGAGTTAAAATTCCGGTTGGGAGTCAATCCAGTTCATCCTCCCTCCAGTGTCATTAAAAAGTACCATGGAGAATAACCCTCACATCGTAATAAGGCATATCCCCCACCGAGTTCTATGTACGTATGTTGAACTTTTTTCACACCGTACGTAGCCAACCGTGGTAAATCGGACTTGGGGGCACTTTAGGTAGGGAGATATTTCCATGAGGAAGGATATCATTGACACGTGAAGGGCAAGTGCTCGTGCACCTGCATGTGAGGCTGCATGCTGGTGGGTGGGTAGCCCGGGCCGTAGCCGGCCTGCTGGTGTGTGGGAGAGAAGCCAGGAGGTCCGCCGTCCGGTGCAAACGATTGCTGCTGTCCAGGGTGCTGAGAAGCGGCTTGAGCCTCGACGCCGTGGGGAATGCCTGACGGAAACGCACCACACCGTCACATTAACCCCTTAGCAATGTACTTACAATGGACATGAATGTGCAGCAATTCATTGCTAATTTGCACAATTCGATGCGTGCGTGCGCGAGACTCCAGAGGAAAACCTCTCGAGGTTGGCATATTTGGGAAGAGAGCCTAACATGTCCGGCAAAATAAGTAAATGACAAAAAAATATAAATTTGTACATTCCTGTATTTATTTCAGATAGCCTTCTGGCTTATACAAACTTCCAGCTTACACTGAATTCCTCTTAACTAGAGTCTGGGGCTTACAGATTTTGACTGCATTGTAAATCTACAAATCAAAGAATCGTGACAAGCCAAATGCAATGAGATTAACAAAAACAATTACCTGGCTGCATGAACTGCACTCCTTCAGATCCGGCGTGCGCCTGGTGCATCGCAGGCGGCATCTGATGCACCAGCGCCTGCTGCGTTTGAAACCCGCCTGCTGGTGGCCCTTCGCCCAGATACGTTGTAGGCGGGAACTGGAACCCGGGGGGCGGGGCCTGCATGCCAGGGGGCGGAGCCTGCATGCCAGGGGGCGGGGCCTGCATGCCAGGGGGCGGAGCCTGGTGGGCAGCGAGCGGAGGCTGCTGGGGCTGCGTTGGGGGCACGTTGAGCTGCTGCTCCGAGGACGACGGGGTCACGATGGAGCTCGTCTCGCTCGAGTCGAAGCCGTGCGGAGTGTCGCGGCCCGAGCACGGCTGGATCAGCCCCTCCTGGGAATGGCCAAAGGAGAAAATATAAAACAAGCTGGCAAAAGCACTCCGTTAAGGGAGTCTCCATTTTGTCCCCCTGCCGCCTTCCCTCAGGGATGGACGGAAGTTAATTACCGCCTTACGGGACTATGACAGGTTGATAAGTTCACTAATAGCGTCCAAGTTATTCCTTCCTAGGTCCCCCTCCCTTTCCCACTCGCTCCCCACCCCGCTTCCCCCCCCCCTTCACCCCACTCCCTCTACTCCCTTACTTAAGTTCTGCATCCACCTACCTTCTCCTCCCCACATCAAAGTACAAATACCCCGCTCACATTCCCCCACTCGGTGGGGCAGTGAACCCAATCGCCTCCCTCCTTGAAGTTCTGGAGCACAGAGTTTGGGATTTACGTCCGCGGAGTTTCTGTACCCCCCCTTTCCCTACGTCACGGTTCGTGCTTCTACCGAAATATACGGCACAATTCTACAACTTAATTATCTGCCGGGTCACAGAATAGACGTAGCGAGCGTTGGCGGGCAAGGTGATTAACGTGTAGACGTTATATCACGACATCATATCACTTCGAAACAGACCTCTCGTACACTTTTTCCACTGGCACATCAGAGCTGAGCTAGCACGGGGCCCTCGCAGTACGGGTAGTTTTCCATTGGCAAATTGCAATGCCGAGTCGAAACTAAACTGCGATACAAACAAGACATCTGAACCTGGATAAGTGCCAAGCAGGGCGAGGGGCCAATAAGGTGCTTATTGTGTGTGACGTCAGCATCACCATGCCATCTACGTGCGTTTCGGCTCATTCATTGCGCGTGACATAGTTGGCACATCTCAGATTTTGCAGTGCAAAAAAAGCTGGTGCCTCCGAACCCCATGCCTGGGAAATGCCCAACCACCCCAGTATGGTTGTGGAGGGGCCGCGTTGATTTCAATTGTACAGTGGAAAAGAGGCTTCCGGTCCAATTGTGTCTTGCACGGGACTCGAGTTACGTGCAAGAGCCCTGGGAAGGGGGTGTCAAACCTTCATCTGCTGTTCCAGAAAGCGCAGCTGAGTCAGCCACTCCGGGTCCACAAACTGCTCCTCCTCGGGCCTTTCCTTCAGCTGTGGGTCAAACGGCCTGAGCTGCGCCGACAGCTGGGGGAACAAACGCACATACAAATACAGCAGACTCTCGATTATCCGCGTGCGGTTTATCCGATTTGCGGATTAACCACGCACCTGAGATATTTACGTAAACTAAGTCATGGATTTTCCCTTAAGCCCAAATTAATAATCGAAAAACAGTTATACATTGTTATTATTGGAAATGTGTATTACAAGTCACATGCTTAGACCAATCAAATATGTGCTCCGGTTAATTTGAAATCCATGTGATCGCCTCTACAGTACAGTAGTTGCATATCTTTACAATAGTGGGCGGAGTTTTATTGATGCTGATTGGCGTGGCTCTGCTGGTGGCCAGCACCACGCACGGCCGTCTTTGTTGTTTACACATCGCAACCAGGTACTCATATAATGCTGAGTCGACCTAGGGGAGCACCCGGAACCGGTTAAGATAATCGTCACTGATGTTGGCCGTGAGCGGGAATCGTACTCGGGTCGCCGGGTTCGTAGCGCAGCACGCCAACCACTACACTACTTCTCCAAACAAAAATACACACACACTTATGCCCACATAAAGACATGCACAGGTCAACATACTGCTGGTGCATTCTGCTTACACTGACGAGCTGCACGAGGAAGGCGTGGGTGTAGAGCGACGGGTGTTCCAGCACCGTGTTGCCGATGACCTCACAGTACTGCATGGCCTGCGCCACCAGCCCGTTCTCTGCCAGCCGGCTGGCGTAGAGCAGCTTGAAGGGCTGAGTGGGGAGAGGGGAGGAGATGGCAGGTCAAGTCAGTGTGTAAGTGTTAACGAGTCAGTTGAGGTGGCAGTTGTGACTTGTCTGTAACACGAAGCGTCACAATCCACGTGATGTACTTCGATTCGGATAGGAAGTCAGGCTTGGTTTATCATGGAATACTTGGCAGGTCAATACATCTCCAGAAACTACAATTTTCTGACACTCCGCAGGCAGGCAATTGACTGCATTGAACTTTGTTTCCAGATTTGAAATTACTCGCATGGTTCCATCATAATGAAACATAAAACAACTGTATCCTCCACAGAACATACAGATTCAAAACCCAAAAGCGCCATGCGCTACGCTGCCCGATGCCGCCACCGACAAAGCCCCCCCCCCCCCTCCCCCCCGCACCTGGAAGTTGGAGAGCGTGGCGCTGGTGCCGTTGGAGCCGAGCGACTGCGCGTATTCGTAAACCTCCGTGCGCTGGATCGACTCGTTGCTCATGAACTCGGCCAGGGGCAGGCTGCTACACACACAAGACACAATGCGTGCGCATGAGAATCTATTATTTCTGAATTTGTATGCATTATATGTGATTGGTTCATGTAAACCCTGCAGCCACATTTACCAATAAACCAAAAAATCATTGTCGAATGAATCATGACCGCAAATCATAACAATTCGGCCAATCACAGAGGAGGGCAAAACTGTTCAATGTCCACAAGACACATTTTAAGGTATGATGCACAATACAAGTAATACATGACTATGGACACTGCTAACCCCCATATTTGTCAAATCCCAACTCGGAAGGGCACTGAGACACACACACACACACCTGTGGTTGGCTCCCAGCAGCACCAGCTTGGCCGACCGCTTGTTGTACATGTCAAAGGTCACTTGGGCCATCAGATAGCAGAAGTGAGCAGCATCAACCAACCCTTTGGAGGCTGCAAGGACAGAGGGTCATGTTAAGGTGGGTTCCTTTTAATAGCACGTACATGTACAGCCCTTTGGTCAATCCACTGTTGGATAAGGGTCTCCTCGCATTGCGTGTCATGGGGGTTGTTTGCCCAATTTATTTTACACTGGTCAGTGTGGGTTGTGAAGGCATGGAAGCAACACGGTAGGAGCCGCGAGGTACGGTACAGCAATGGATTTAGCTTTAGCTGCACTGCTCTCTGCAGCCCGGAACGTAACATAGCCCCGCAGGAGCCGATGACATCCAAGCATGCATGGTGGTCACCGGTCCAAGCACGATCCAGGCACAAACCTGCTTAGTTTCTAAGATTTTGGCATACGCACTTATCGATTACTTTTGGATATTTGGGCGTAAGAGCCAATGTAAGAGAAACTGCTCAAGTAGGCCGACACCTACCCATGTTAATGTGTAGGAAACTGGCGTGGTGGTGGAGTGAATGCACGAGGAACGGTGACGCATTGGTTAGCACATTGCACAATGAACCCCGCGACCCCAATTCAATTCCCACTCGTGGTCAACATCGGCGACGAATATCTGAAACAGTTCTGGTCCTTATTTACGTCAATTCAGCCTTAAACGAGAACCTGGTGCAGTGCGTGATACATTACCACTGGGGAGACAAAGATGGCCAGGCGTGATGCTGGCCACCCACTCCCTCGTGTGCCGTGCTGGCCTTAATCAGGTGCTCACTAACAGCAATCGCCCCAAAGTCTGTTAAGTATATAGGGGGATCTTTGTGTGGTTTCCCACCCAGCGTGTCGCCCATGGTGGTGATGGTACGCCGATCCAGGTCGGGGTTGCTCGTGATGTTGGACAGGATCATGGCCAGGTGAGGCCTCCAGTCTCCCCAGCGCTCGTCGCAGCATGACTGATGGCGCCGCACAAAACGTAAACGTCAGTACGAGCTGAACGGCTACACACAACACTGCAGCCTTAACACGCGAGCCTCGCAACACAAGCTATAGTAGATTTAAAACAAACAGACAAGGGTCAGTCATCAAAACGGCATTTGAACCGAAGATTTCCATCAGAATTTGTTTACATCGGCAAACCTTGGGCTGGTTTTAAAACCCTCAGTCTCTTCAGCAATATGAACCAAACGGCTGTCAGATCATGTTTTTTTATTTTCTCTGTCACCCACAACCGACCAAAAAAGAACAATATTCCACTTATGTAAACCTGAGCCTACACAAAACGTGGTTTGTACACTCAAGTCTTACCAAACGTAATCGTTCCGACTACATAAGCATATAATATCAACAAGGCTTATTTATAAGCTTCCAATAATACCAACCCCTTGTAGCAGCCGACACCCTGGCATTAACGAGTCCTATGTGGCTTTCGCTTCACAGAATCCCTAGCTTACCGTGGCGGCCGCAGGCATCCTTCCGGATTGCTGCTGGTAGCAAGTCTGCAGCGGGTCATTCATGGGCAGACTGTTGGCAAACCTGCAGGGAGCAAGCAAACAAGGATGAGTAGCTATCACCCAATGCTCTGCATCATCACTACAGTCAGCTTCATGCTTTATGAACCCCCCTATGACTTTGCGGAGGCAGCTTTGGCAAGAGAGTTGTGGGCTGCAAAGTGCAATATAAAGTATCTACTTGCACAATAACAATCATAGAAAGTAATAAAGATGTGAAAAATATTTGTGAGCAAATAAATAATATATAAATAATGTACGAGTACAGCCCTTTGTCAATTTATTGCAATGGCTCTTGGGAAGTTATTTGACCATACTTCACCAAGCTGGTCAGTGAGGGTTGGTGAACGTGGGGAGCATAGACTTGGGAGCATAGAAGTGTACTCTAACAAGACACTTTGCTGTAATAATGCACATCTGGTCAATAATATGGCCACAATTTTGACTCTTTTTGAGTTGATGGTCCAAAACAAGGCTGTGTGCGTTGAACCTTATTTTTAGAGGCCGACCAAAACTTAATTTCTGGTTTCGGCCGAACACAAAACCAGATTGAAAGTAAAAAATTGACTTTCGGCCAAAACCGAAAGTAAAAAAAACGTACAGAAACTATGCCGAAAGAGGCATTTGCCAACTTTCGGCGCCGAAACCGAATTTCAGTCGGCCTCTAATTGTCAGACTTCGAATCTCGGAATCAACACGCGTGTAGACTGAAGCGAACCCAACACATAAGCCAAGGCGGGCAGGCGCCTGGGAACAGGCAACAGAGGCACTTTGTTGTCGTCCCGCAAAAAGAGACTCCACCCACGGATGGAGATGCAGGCTGCCGTCTGTTGACCGGTCGTATATACATTAGCAGACCATGGTTGCGGCTGTAACCTCGCTCCCAAGCTGCTGCTGCTGACGTGTGTGTGTGTGTTTGCAGCCTATCGCATAAGATTGCCTAGTGCTGACTGACCGGCCGATAGGCAGAGTGATAGACGTAGCACTAGCGTTATATTCTACAAATAGATCTTCGGTTGACGAATGACGACCGAAAGTTTAAAATTTACTCTCGGCCGAAACCGAAAGTATGCCGAAAGAGGCCATTTGCCAACTTTCGGCACCGAAACCGAATTTCAGTCGGCCTCTACTTCTTTTGCACCGTACGTAGCCAACCGTGCTACTCGGAGGTGTATAATGTACGCAAATTTCCCACATATTATCCTTCTTCGCTTCCAGCCTGCGAGCACTTTATGTCCGATGGCTCTCTCATCGTTAACAGATCGTGTCACACAATTGCTTACCTGGTCATGACGTTGGCGTGCGTGCGGCCATCCATCTTGCTGGCGAGCAGCAGGGCGTGGCCCCAGAGGTCGTTCTTCATCGCCGACTCCAGGGCATCCTGCACAAGCAGCAGCGCCGTGTTTCCAGAGTGATTATGAGATGCAAGGGGGGGCGTGGGCCAACGGACCTATATATACGCACAGTAGACTCTCCATTATCCGCGCCAATGACGGGGAGGACGGCCGCGGATAATTCAAACATTGCATATAATGCAAAAATATCCATTTTCCGCAGATCTTTATGCTGAAAACCACTGTTATATTTAAGTTAAGAAAATTGAGTTCAGATTAAAAGCACGTGACTTCCAATAAACATTTCCAAGAATAAACATGAAAACTATTTTTAGATTATTAATTTGTTAATTTGGGTTTAAGGGAACATCCACGAGTTATTAATTTATAAAATCTCTGGTGCGTGGTTAATCCACAAATAGGATAAACCACACGCGGATAATCGCGAGTCTACTGTATACATGCATGTTAAACGTCTTTTGCACCATACGTAGCCAGCCGTGCTAATCGGAGATGGAGGGAAGGATAACAAATTAAACATAAAAGCAATCATCATTGCCGGTCGAGAGCTTAATAGATTACTGACCATTTACAAAATCAAACAAAAAGGATATGGGACTCAATTTTCAACAAAGTATAAGCAATTATTTTTAAAACTTTAGCTAAGCCATTGGTCGAAATGTTAGCCTATTAAATCGTTTTTTTCTGTTGTAAGAATAGAGTGAGTTTTATTTGTGACCATATAAAAATGCCATGAAAAAAACTTTCTCCATGCACTGTTACCACTGCCTTGTGACAAACGTGGTTGGGGGGGTTCCATAAGAGGGTTTTTTGGGTTAGAGCACGTATAAATATATGTGTCATTAAAACCCACCACCATCCGACACAGCCAACTAGCAAGGGTTGTCACGTAAATAGAACATGCCAATTAGTCACTAGTACAGCACACCGGTGTGTCGGAGAGCCAAGCCACAACATTCACAATCCGAGTGGTTGGATTGTTTAACATCTCTGAACAGCACAACAACCTCACTGCAAGACGGAACATTTTCCCCCTCTTTCTCTCCTTACACAGCTCAACTTTGGATCTCCCTTCATCTGTCTTTCCAACTTTCTGTTACCCAAACTAAATTCAAGAAGATTAGACATTCTCATAGCGAGTTGAACCTCGATGAAGATTGGAGATCCCCTGGGTTTGATCTCACACAAAGCCCATGGTCCACCCTAAAACACATCCTACTGCACAAACGATGGCAGATGCGGATCCCTGATGCACAAAAAGAAACTTTTAAACTCTCCAGCGTGTGACTGTGGTCATCCAGAAGATACCATATAACGATGAAATGCCCGATGCGGTTATCTGGCTTAACCACCTCAATGTGAAATTGTAATTGCTGCTCTGAATCTAAATCAGCCATAAGAAAGAATAATTCTCATTAACTGTCCTTCCTCTATCTTTCATTCTTTCTTGCTGGCCACTTTGTCAACAAAAGGCTCTTTCGGGTCTCCGCACCTTCTTACGGCCGAACAGCAGCAGCTGGCGGAAGCGATCGGTGGCCTGAGCGATGGCCTCCTCGCTTGAGAGGCGCCCTTCGCCCAGCAGGGACGCCTGCCCCACGGGGCCGTCCTCCGGGGCGCCCAGCAGCAGCGCGGGCTGCGGTGCGGCGGCGCCAGCGTCGTCATCAAGCCCCGAGAGCGCCCCCAGCTCCCCGCTCAGGTCGATGAGGTTGGCTTCGTCGTTTGGGGCCCGGCCTGGATGCCAGCCCGCGCGGTGGCCGCGCAGCAGCAGTTCAGCGATGTCGGTGCCCACCACCGTCTGTCGGTGCCGAGACACACCACCGTGCCGCGCCAAGAGATAACGTGTTATGCCGACGCATACCGTGCCATACCGGAACGCTTACCGCCGATTTATTTGTAAATAAAGGAGATTAACATCAAATCAATCGACGGCACCAGACATTGATTTATACACGAACCCCGTTCTGTCGGCAGATGAGCACGAGCAGCTCCCAGAGGAGGGCGGCTGACTTCTTGTCGATCAGCTTGTCATTACGAAGGCACTCCATAGCCTTGTTCTGAGCGAAGGTGATCACGTCCACCTTGTGTGTCTCGTCCCTACGCAGGAGGACAGCACACAAGAGTTACGCACAACGTCAATGGGAATCTCAATGTCATGGGCCCTGCCGTGCCCTTAACCAGCAACGTCACTTTGCAATCCAAACCCAAATAACTAAAGTTACATCTCATGCAGTGGTGTAGCTATTGAGTGTGCAGGACTAGGATGTGGGCTATGAAGAGGGAGGAAATTTGACAAGTGGGGCCTGTTAAATTTCTTGGACCAGGGTCGACGCAAAATACAATACAGCACGGGTCTCCTGCTTTAGTGTAATGCATTGGCGGATAGATGCAACGTTTTTAGCGATACATTGACAGATAAGAGTGCAGTGGAATATAAATCTAATCTAATTCAATTTTATACTTATCAGGCACCATCACTCAAGGCGCTTGACATAGTAAAAAAAAACGGTGACAGAACGGAATGACTTAAGATTGGCAGGGGAGTGCAAGGATTGAGGAACGAGTGGCCGCAATAGAGGGGTGCTTAGGGATCACGAAAGGGTAGGTGATGGATGGGAAGGAGTGGAGGGGCGAGGGGAGTGAAGAGGAAGAGAATGGGCAACAGAGAAGAGGTGAAGCTTCGCGGGTGGCACGTACTTCACCAGTGGTCCTGGGAAGCAGCGCAGCTCCGTTTGCTCCTCACTCTCCTGCAACATGACCTGTAGGGACATGGGCAGCAGAAATCAGCTGGGCGAGGGGTCAGGGTTAATGTTAGTGTTCGCATGCGAGTGCTTAGGTCGAGGTAGGGGTTAACATTAGCAGTAAGGCATTCAAATTTGGCCAAGCAAGGCGCTAACGTTATGGTAAAAATAACAATAGTAAAGTATTATATCACTGAAGCTGTTTATATTGCTCGGGAGTCAGAGTTTAGGTTTGTACTTAGGCAAATAACTTGGGTTAAGGTATACATGATAAAGATAAGCATTAGTTCACAATTATTAGTAATGGTGCAAGAGATAGTAATAGCATGAAAAATGTGGGTTTGATTAAAACAATTACCAGGGCTTAGGTAAGTTAGACTTAGGGTTAAGCATGCGTGCTGAAATGAGAATAACTGAACATGCAATAGAGATTCATTCCATTTCAGAATTGAAGTCAGTTTTATGATTAAGTTTAGATGCTGTGAATAACTACATCTTCGGGTAGGTGTTCGAGTTAACATTGGGATTTGTGCTAATAAATAAGGTTAGCATTAACATTAGGATTAATGTAAGCGTTTTGGCTGAGCTTAGGTAGAGTGTTCAGCCGATGGATCGGACTTCTTCCATGTGTGTGCTTTTTGCAGTCACCTCCACGTTGTGTATCTCAACCAGGGCAGGCTGCCCGTCTGCTGGCATGTTGGGCAGCACCTTTATGAGCTGCCCACCCGGGCCGAACCGCGCGATCGTGTGCGGCGCCACAAACTTCTCCGGGGTCATCGGTCTCACGGGGGCCGGGGCAACTGCGATCGACAGAGACAAGAGCCGCAGCATCGTTCGGTACCACGATTGCAATTGGGCACGTAACAATTCATGGATTTAAATCGGTTCTTACGCTCGCATTACACGTAGAATTGTGCACGTTACAAATTATGATCTGCACAAACAACCCGATTTCGTAAAACTTTATTTTGTTTACTTTGTTTAACAAAATTTCAGCTCTGAGAATAAAAAATCTGCTTCATTGCCCATGTGATGAACCCTACTCTGTACAAGGAGTAACGGAATGTTCAATGGTTCCTTGCTTGTGGTCATTGTTTTGTGGTCAAGATGAACACACACACGGTGGTGAACCCGCTGTGTGTGTGTGTGCGGTGAACGCAGCGGATAACTCACCCTGCTCACCGGACTGCCACGACTGGGTAGTGTAGTCGTACTGGTAACCGTAGCCCTGGGACGCGTCGTAGCCTGCACTGGGGTACTGTTCGTAGAGGTAACTCTCCGAGGCGGGCGTTGGTGTCTGGGACTGGTAGGCATGCACTTCCTGGGCTGGCGCACGGTACACGGCACTCTAAAGCGGGAAGAGACGCGACGATTACAAAAACAGATACGAGACTGCGGGGGCTATCGCGACCAAAGCTGTGAACAGGAAATGCTGCTGCCATCACCGCCACAAAGCAACTGATGTTACTGCTGCCCACACCCGTTACAGTACTGCCAGGGGGCTAAATTTGGTCTCCATGGAAATAACGCGGTTTTCTTAAGAATACGGATATAGCCGCTACCGCACCTGAAATAGTCTGGTGCTTCGAGGACACTATAAATGACAATGTTAATGATGGGAGGATAAAATAATTCTGCAAAGATTGGGTCCGGTCTTGGGATTTGGTGAGCGTGCACCTGGTTAACGTGCAAAAACATGAATCTAAAACAGAAACATCACCCTTGCCTGCTGCGAATGGGTGCTGAATGCGCTGCGGTGGCTCCGCTCGCTGCGCACGCTGTGCACGCTGTGCGTGCTGCGTTCGCTGTGCACGCTGCGCCGGTCAAAGTCTTCCGCGTAGGCCTCGGAGGCGCGGCGGTATGGGTCGTCGTCGGCCGCCTGCGGAAGCCGTGGATCCGACGGCCAGTTCTCCATGTAGTTCTCCCGCCTTTGGCAACGGAAGGGAAGGCAAGGGGAGGCCCGCCAGGGTTATCGTTAGGCGAGCTACATGGCCCAAGGGTTTGCGGTTCAATTCCAGCAAGCAGCCCTCGTTATCGCCGTGGGTGTATCAACCTAAAAAATATTCGCAGTCTGCTCCACAGCAGACGTCAAAGATCCCCCGACTTAATTCGAAACAAGTAAGTTATTGCACGCCGGCGTCATGGCCCAATTTAACAAATACACAAACGTCCACCGCAAATTCCTTAATTGGGATTACACCTAGCAATAATCACCCCACTACTGACAAACTAATGCCTGGTTGCTTTCTAAGGGCCGAGTCACCTTGTGCCCTAATGAACAGCTGCTACTGGGGGTTCCGTTTCATGTTTCAGATGGCATGTGATAAGAGCCACTAATCGTGCTCTGAGATGCCATGGTGTAAGAGGCAGCTCTATCGGTAACAAATAATTATTATCGTTATTATTAACAGATAGCGGGGCGCAAGATGGATTGCCGAACATGCAAATTGCAAACATTTATGTTTCAAGGATAATGCATTCCACAGACACACGGCTGCGATTGCATTTCATTTACCGACGCAATACTGGTCAACGGCAGTGCGTCCGTCTAAATACGATTATTTATTCACCTCCCATTCTGAGCGCCGCAATTTCTGTATTCAAGTTTCCTGACACGCAGAGAGATTCTTCCTTTTAACTGACCACCATTTCCATCCATAGTAATTAAAATAAAGACCGCCATGCATATACCTGCCATAGTAGACGTCCTGATAGTAGCCAGGATGCCGTAGCTGCATATCTTGATCGTAACTGTAGCCATCAGCTCTGGGCTGGTCTGGCTCTGCGCACGTGAAGGGGATACAATACATCACTAACATTCATACATGGTATACTTCCATATTTCAAGCATATTTATCCACACAATGCTGATATTCTTACATCAAACACATACACACTAAACATGCACTATGCTACATTAACACATCTGCGTGTACATACATACGCATGCAAATGCTGCCCTTTGGAGGAAAGGGTGGGTGGATCAATCTGATTTGTCAAACTCCCAAACCCGGTGGGGGCTCTGAGAAATGGCCAGGGGATGGCGGTACAGCAAGTAGGTTTGTGAAACAGTCTGTGCGGACCTCCGAGTGTTATTCCGCTTGTGCGCTCCGGGATTTTCTCCTAGAATGTTCTATGTATGGAGGAAACTGGTCATCCCGTTTCCTCCCAAAATAATTAAAAAAATGCGGATGGGAGGACACCGGTACAATGGAAGTGGCCAAATACCAAAGCTGGATCACCCTGAAAAGGAGCCTTGAGACTCGGCAAGGTTTTGTTTTCGTATAAGTGACAATACCCATGCAATAAATTCAATGAACATCAACGGTGACCCCAATACGCTGAGGCAGAGACCAGGCACTAAAAATATGGGTGGCGATAGGTGGCTTAGCGGTAGGGCGATCGCCGCTTGTAGGTAGAGGTTCGCTTCACAGTGGAAGTTAAAGATCTCATTACATCATTCTAAAAGGAGGCCATTGTGTGCCGGCATCTCGGTGCAAATTTGTTAAAAATGAAAAATTACCTGAAAATAAATCAACTGGCATTACACATGGCAACATTGCCCCCCTACCCCCCACTACTGTGAAACTACTGCAGACTGTCTCAAACAAAGCACCGCTTTGTGCTATAAGAATGGCACGATGAGAAAAATGTACGAGATAATATATATTATTTAAGTATTAATCTTGTACCCAGGTGGGATTCCAGTAAGAGAAGAGGACTTACGAGAGGGTGGGTAACCGTATGCCCTGGCACCGTAATAATTGTCTGCTGCGTAGTAGCCATCTGGCCTGTCGTAGGGGCCCCTGCAATGTAAAAGGATGTGGGGTAGGCAAACAAACTAAATGGTCAAACAAGAGATCAGCTAAAAACATTAATACATCAATACTGAACGACTAACAAATTCCTGAAATGAAATATACTTATCAATCATCATCTCCTACTACAAAAACTTGGCAGGAACCTCCTGAAAAACAAAGTCATGAGGCTTCGTGAGGCTTTCCTGGGTAACACAAGCATAATAGATAAGCAGATAATGTCTCCTTCCAATATCTGTTTTTCCCCATGAACACAACCCATCGGCTCCACAGCTTTCTGGGAGTGAATACTTTGATGAGAAACGTCGTACTCAGAATGTAAATGTTGTGGATTTGCTCTCCAACACACCGGTGCGCTGTACTCGTAACGAATTGGCATGTTCTGTTTACGTGACAAACCTTACTAATTGCCTGTGTCGGGTGGTGGCGGGTTTAAAGACAAATTTATATATTTAAGCGATCTAACCCAAAAAAACTATTATGGATAATTTTATGAGACACGATGGTTTGTATCTTTCATTAAGAGGCCATAATAGTCAATGCCACCGATGGCACATCCTACCATCGCTTTCTTCCTTCTGCCACGTACCACAACAGCCTAGGCGTATCTATAAGAAAACAGCTCTGTTGCTTTATGGGTTTTTCCTTGGTTTAACTTGAACACGTTCTTAGCCACACAAACGGTGGGACACGTGTGAGAGGTGTGGGGGGCATAGCCCACCATGAAGAATTTCCGATTATTAAACATGTAGCAAGTCATCATTCCAGGATTTGGTGAACTGTCACATCTGATTCAAGATTTGATTACTGTCTCAACTATTCTCTCTACACTTTCACCTCATTTTTAGTTTTCTACGGCGATTTATTTGTACCGCCGATAAAGGCAAGTTTGTGCCGTGTCGGTCTAATTAGCATTTCGTGTATGGTTTCATTTGCTCTGCCTCACGTGTTCGACCTCATTTGTACTGTCTCATCAGCACCGATTCATTATGTCTTGTTCATTTCAGCCATTATCCCAAAGGAAACATCTCATACAATACAAATGGTAAACAATTTGACTCGTGCGTGTATACGGTTTTATCAACCACGAGGGTGTACAAATCTATTTTAATTGTTCAGTTACGTGGAGCGAGCACACTCACCGCTCCGAGTAGTGGCTGGCACGGGAACTGGGCCTCTCCGGTTCGGGGGGACGGTAGCGGCCGTATGCGTCGTAGCCGCCATGGTAGCTGCCCTGTTGTGACAGAGGCTGCTCGTAGCTCGCACTGCGCCCGTTCTGCTGCTCCCGCAAAACACCACAAACAGCGGCAAGCAAGACGACTCAGCAAGAGTAACAACCTCGATTAAGGGGAGGCTGGGGAACCTTTTCCTTACTGAAAAGGACTTTCTAAAATATTTGGGGGGCCACACGTGAACACACACCTCAGTCACATATATTAGTCCAAGGACCTCTTGCAGCGGCAGAAGTGATACCGAGCACGTTAAAATGTTGCCTTGTCAAAGACATTGCCCCCTAGTACCCAATTAGTGTGGCCAAGAAGCTTGTAGTACCGGATAAACATTGTTTGTGGGCCATTTCCAAGTGGTAGACTTTGTTGCCATGGGCCGTATGAAATTAACTCGTAGGCCATCGATTCGCGACATCTACCTTAAGACGGAATACACTCGAGATGTATTCACACCAAACCCTATGCTCACATGGATTTTAATAAGCATGGAATTCTTCGTTTTAAATCCAGAAAATATAAATGGTGAAAATTTTGAAGAGTGTTTCACATTGCAAAGTTTGGCCAACGATTTCTATTGTGTTTGTGGAAGCCCGTGTCCAGAGAAAACTCATGTACAACTGAAGATAACGCTCCAGAACATACACTGGCATCTACTGGCCACCTTGCAGCCCTTGCAAGTCGGTGTCTGGTGCGCACGATAACTAAATGTTATCCACCAACAGGCACCTACACAGTAAAGGATTAAAGATACGTTTATCAATACAGGAAGTAGGAGGCAGAAAAAGCGACCCAAAAACCAAATGGCCCTGGTGATATTGGCTATCTGATATGAGTTTCAAGCTTTGTTTATAACACTAAATTCCAAGTTATCAAGCACATCATTAGATCCCTCAACAAATAACTGTTATGTCACTCCATTATAGTGTTACATCATATCACAAGTGGTACATGACAGACCATCTGGCCATGAAGTACCTTATATCAATAACTATATCAGAATTGGACAGACATCCTAGGTATGTATCTATGACAGATGTATTGTTTTGGCTGCCTCTCCCCTTAAGATACTGTAAATTCCTCCCCATAACACCCAATTACTGATAAAATGTGTATGCATTTTATTTGTACTTATTTAAATGCAGATCTCCCTTGAAAAATAGACTGCTGGTCTCAATGGCTTTTTAGTTATAAATCTACCAATCACTTGTGTGACTTATGTTGTGGTCTGCCTTGCCGGTCCTTTCTCCACTCAATTCTGTGCGGGCCATCTCCACGTCCACTCCAGTCCTTCAGTGCGTTTCACCATTTCGGTACAATGGAGTAACTGGTTCACTGGTTGTACTGGTGCTGGAACACAAATACTGGTTCAACAGAATATAGTACTATTTACATTTCAAGGGAATTGAACAAAACATCGCAGGCAGTACGCTCCTGAAAAAGTATGGAACTCATTGTGGCTATACTACTAAATGAAGACAAACATTAATTGCACAAGTCATTAGCAAGTGTTTTCACCTCATAGTACGCCTGGGCAGCTCTGGGGTCGGCCTGCTGGTAGTACTGGTAGTAGTGATGTGCCCAGGGGTCGGTGCCATAGGGGTACGGCGGTTGCCCGTAGCCCGCCGTCCCTGCTGGCAGCGGTGGGTAGCCCGGGTAGGTGCCAGCAGCGGCAGCAGCAGCATAGCGAGCCGCCTCATCGCCCGGGTAGCGTCCGCCCGTCTGACTGCCCGCATACTGTCCTGCTTGCTGATGCTCGGCAGCAGAGTGTTGAGATAATGACGGCTGTGGTGGCGCCCCTGTTGGGTAGTGAGATGAAGAAACTGGTGGCTGAGAATCGTTGGGTGGGTAAGCTACAGAACCATCTTGCTGTTGTTCAGTTTGTGTCCGTACAGGTTGATCGGGTGGATATGGAGTAGTTGCAGTGACTTCAACTGATGCTGCTCGTTCTGGGAGAGAATGGTAACTCGAGGTCACAACTGGCTGCTGCTGCTGCAGTGCTGCCTTTGAGTCAGCAATAGGCGGGTTTGCCAAGGTCACATGGGTCGAGGCTGCAGATGAGTCGGCATGCTGTGGAGGTGGAAGCTGTGAGGAGGGAGGGACCTGATGGCTTGGAGTTGGCTCGCTTAGCTGTTCCATTGACTGGCTCTTCCCAGATAAAATTTCTTGTGGAATTTGAACAACAGGCTGCTGGGCTCTGGGTGGTGGCTGTTGTTGTTGCTGCTGCTGTTGCTGCTGCGGTTGCTGTTGTGGCTGCTGCTGCGTGACAGATGAACCTGGTACCTGCTGCCAAGCAGAAGGCTGTGACTGCAAGTGAGATGACACCGGTGGTGGACATGGCGGTACAGTGGATGTTGGCTGAAACTGAATGGGACCACCTTCTTGTGTCCTCATGGCGCCCTCTTGAGCAAATGCTGCTTGCCGCACGGTCAGGTCGAGAGCCTGATCGCCACTCTTGGGTTTCTCAATTTGCTGGTAAATGGAAGGGTTGTGTTGCTCACCCTGAGTTGGAAAGCTGGGCAGCGCATTCTTCGTTGCCGGTGGATCAATGGCGGTCATGCCCACGAGAGACGGGTTACCATAAGCACTGGGCGGACGCTCTCTGTGTTGAGCGGCTTGCGCGTTCAGAGATTCTTCCTGCCGTGACGACATCATCTGGGGCTGCTGGCTGATGGCTGGAGATGTAGCGCAACGAGCTCCTTCTGCCAAAAACTGCCCACCGACGAAACCCTGGGTCGTGGGCACGGGGGCGGCACTGATGGCGGGAACGGTAGGGAGGGTCAATGAATCAGACGGCACAAAGGTCAGCAGAAGGTTTTGTGAAAGTGCCGAGTGGTGCATCAGTGACTCGGGTTGAGTGCGAGTGACAGAGACAATGCCATTTTCAGATGTCTGGTTGCTTCCCCTGCGTGACAAATCAGCGGCCGTCGGAGGGACCAACTGAGGCTGCGGCAGGATTATTGGCGGAACCAGACTTATGTCCAACGGGGCCACGGGACAAATGACTGGTGCGATGGCTGGTCCAATCACAGCTGGCCCGTGCATTTTGGACGCTGGTGGAATTTCCATGTTCTCCACCGCGGACCCAGTGTATCCGTGGATCGCGCCTCCACGCCTGGTGCCCATCTCCTCCTCCGGAGGCTGAATTACATCTCCTCCGGCTGCTGGCATCCTCGGCGGTTGCAGCGCAGGTGCGGCTGGAGCAAGGATGACGGTCTCGTCCAGGCCGGGGACCCCATCCTGCGCCCACAGCGTCGTCATGGGGCTCTCCGTCATCTGCCGCAGCGCCGAGCTGCGTGACAACGGCCGACTGGGCCGCCGCTCGCTCGGCGTCGAGTGCACACCGACCGGCGGCTTGCCGGGGTTCGCCGGGCTCGCCACGGCACTGGGGATCTCTTGATTATCGGGCAACAGCTCCATGTTGGCATGCGCCGTACGTTGCAGCGCACGGTGACGTGCACCCCGGGCGCCGAAGTGCTCCTTGTTGAGCTCCTCATCGAAGTTGAGGCTCGTCTCATCCCAGCTGCCCACCTTCTCAGGGGCAGCAGCGCCATCTGCCGGATCTACTACGGAGTGCTGTGGCGAGCGGAATGGCTCAAACGAGCTGTTCCTGCTCAACTGGAAGTGGCCTGTAGGCCGAGGTGGGCTTGGACTGCCGGGCCACGCTTGCGCGGCGGTCGCATCGGCCGACAACTGCACATTCACAGGGGCGGTGGCAGGCCCCTGATGGTAAAAGTCCCCCAAGCCTGATGACGTTTGGGGATGCGGCCCTGCCGGGTTCTCCTGTTGAATGAACGTGTTCGACACCTTGGGATATACGGGCTTCTTGGCGTGTCCGCCAGCACTGCTCATACTGACACCGCTCAGCGTAGAGGACGTGGCGCTGGCCGGTCGGCCTGGCCGGGCCACAGAGTCCGGCGTCTCGACGTTGGGAAGAAGCTCAGCATTGTCAGGGAGCTGCGGCGGCCGATCCCGCAAGGTGCCATCGGGATGGACTGTGCCGAATGGATGGCTCGGTGAGTTTGTTGGTTGGCCAACGTTTTCCTGCTTGAAAGGATCCCTTGGTGGAACCTCCTGGTTCTGGGTGTAGTCCCAGTGACCAAAACCTTGAATCGTGGACGCCGCGTTCAATGGCGCTACGATACCACCAACCGACCCTTCCAGGCTTACATCAGGGTTCTCAAGAGATGGATTAGAGAAGGACGCAGGGCTGCTGTTCACGTTGGCGCCCTCAGGTACACCGTGCTGAGCGGCGCTGTCAGCCTGACTCCATCCGCTGGGCTGGAGTTGTGCTATGCTCGTCGGGGCCATAGTTGCCTGGTGAGAAGAGACGTTCTCAAAATTCTCAACATCATCATCCCTGAAGAACATGGACACAGTGCTGCAGTCGACGTCCGTCTGGGGACTTTTTAGGGCGTCTGCGCAGCCGGACATGTGTGCATTATGATCCCCCTCGTGTGCCGGCCCACTGTTGTAACCCACTCTGCCCTGCACGTCTGTGTGAAAGCCTTGCTGCTGTAAGGATGCGTCGAATGAGTACTGAGAGGCAGCTGCATTTCCAGGGTAGGTTTCTGCATTGGAGCTAGGCTCCGCCAACGTATTATCCAGATGATGGGGGAGCTGAGGGATACCATGCTGCTGCTGTGGTGGTGATGCTGTGTAAACGTCCCCTTGGGGTGCATACTCATGCGCGTGCGGTCCAGGGTTATAACTCTCGTACGTGGGTGCACCAGAGGACGTGGGAACCTCGGCAGATGTGCTGGAATTTTGAGGAAGGCGCTCTGCAGGGTAGAGTTCCTGGTCATATTCTCCGGAGCCTGGTCGGTACGGGGCTTGGTGCGATTGTGGGAGACCGGGATTGTAGTAATTAACGGCTCCATCATGCGCTGGCTGACCATAGCCAGGCAGGCCCTGTGCAGGTGCCACCCTCTGTACAGATCCAGCACCGAGTTCCGGGTGTCCTGATGGATCCATAGTGGCGCTCGGCACTGTGCCTTGCAGGTGCCCGTAGGGTGGGTGGCCCTGATGTGGCGGTGGGACTGGTGAAGGACCCATGTAAGAGTCCCGAGGGCCTCCAGGCTGCAGGACAGCAGTCGAATGCACCTGGGAATGCTGTCCATGCTGCAGAGAAAAATGTGAGTCATTGTGATGTGTCACTTGGGGATGATGCTGAGGAGGTGCCGGTGCATGCTGGTAACCGTGGGAAACGGGGCCTTGCTGGTATAAATGGCCGTGCTCCAGGGAGGAAGCGGATGACACAGGCATGGCTTCAGCACCAGATGGGCGCAACCCTTGCTGAGGCTGGAAGTATGGATCCGCCCCTGCGGAAGAAGCAGGCACTTTCCAGGATTGCAGTGGAACTGACGTGGGGGGCAGGGATGGTGGCATAAATTGTACTGGAGCGGCGGCGGGCGCATGCTGCATTGGGTTGAACACGTTTAGTTGCTGCTGCTGTTGCTGCTGTTGCTGCTGCTGGTGCTGCTGTTGCTGGGCTGGTGGATTTGTTATCAAAGAAGACGGCGGCTGAGCGGAGACCGGAACAGCAGGCTGGTTGAACGGCTGTGTCGGGTTAAAGAATTGAGTTGGTCCTGGCTGGCTGACGAGCGGTGGTGCACTCCCAGTGGGGTTGAAAGGCACGGGCTGCGCCAGCACGGGTGGCGACGGCCCCAGCTGCTGCAGGCGGTTAAACGCAAAAGGGTCCGAGATGAGCGGCTGCTTTGGTGGTGCGGCTGCAGATGCCGCCGCTCCCGTCATCGTGGGCGTTGTTCTCCGGCCGTACGGCGTCGTTCGCCGAAAGGGCGAGGGCGCACCATGCTTGGGAGGGCCAGCAAGTGGTGGCCCCGTGGGTGAAGTGGCAGCCCCAAGTTGACCCACTGGGGATGGCGTTGCGTTCTGAGGGATGGGCGCAAACATCACGGCAGCGGTGGGCCCGGATGTGTCACCACGGTCGGCCTTGGTAAGCCTGCAGGCAGTGTTTGATTATGAAGAAAGGCAGAAAGTTAGTGCAAACAATGAGATTATCCGACTGCTGTTTAAGGTCTTAGTCTCTCACTAAATGCACTACTTGAGCACAAATATTGGGATTGTGCACTGTATTGGATTTTCTGCATTGCAAGATTTAGACTTTATGGACCAGGTTCTTATGTAATATAGCAATTAAAGCAAGTTAACTACTGCGGTGAATTTCAGTGATTTGTTCATATATAAATAAGACTCATCCAAGTGGATTATAGTGGAGCAGTGCATTGCCCGATTAATCTAAAAACATGAGTGATAGTGAAGTGTGGTAGAGCATAGTCAAACAACCCTCATGGAGAAGCCTTCATTCAGCAGGGAATTGGCAAAGTACTGTAAAATATCCTTAAAATGATGATCATGAGCCAGCCATTTTGCAGTAAAACAGTAATGAAACATGGTCATGAACTTCAAGTATATGCCCTTAATGTAAATCTTAAACACAAGTAGAGCAGCTGAGAAAATCATGTTGGTATACACCTCAATTTGTCAAGGTAAAACAATAAGTCTAATTTCACGCAATAATGCATATCAAAGTGGGTTCTATACACTTGAGCTTGGAAACACGCAATGTGAGTCAACATGGCTATTTTCTTTCAGCTTCAGAGTTAACTCCACTAAGCACACACATGCACACTACACACACAGATTGATCCAGGAACTGGCTGAGCAGTGCAACGTCTAACAGCTCTCAGCAAGTGGCTGTGTGTATGGACACCTGGCACTGATAGCCACCGCTTGTCGCTGACCCGGGGAGCCACACGAAGCAATACAAGCACGAAACACATTTCTGCTTGAGCCCAATCGATATTTGCTTCCACATCAGCATCTGTGCCAAATGCACACATCACCTTGCAAGTAGCAGGCCCATGCCCACCTTGGTGAACACATTGCTCTACACTGTACAGTTTTTCTAACCGCACATGAGCAAACACCGTAGTGTTGTTACAAAATATTAGTTTGCGTTCAATGCAATGTGCTGTCACTGCAGGAGTGTACATTTCGTCAATACAAGCAGTGATTAACATGTGCCACGCTGTCAGTAGGAGCTCTCAGTGGTTTCAAAACCCCCAGAGGCTTTAAAGCTTACAAAAAATTTACTTTAATCATCATTATTACATTTACAAGAGAGGATTTTTAAAGACACTGTTGATAGAAAATTCATAAATTGCACGTTGCTGTGAAATGCTGAATAAATGTGACGAAAAAAAGGTCTAGCATACGAACTAAAAAAGTAAATTTTAGGAGTATATTTTAAAATATGCGTGAAAGCAGTGTACAGCACCAGTAAAACATAACTACTCAGGTATGGCTTTGATAGTTATATCAGCTTCAAGTAATGTTCGTAAAATAACAGGTACCACTGACGCAGTCTTATCTCCTGTCGCTAAAAACGCAATAAATGTTAAACAGCTGACTTGCAACTGTTTCCTATAAAAAACTATCACAGAGCTAAAAAACAAGTGTCTGAAGCCCTTATTAAAAATGTTCAAATGCCAAAAACAAACATGTATAAGGACACCCATTGCTCCTCGGCTACATATATTCATTCAGCATTGTATCTTATTTATGAAGCATATTCAGGGTTTAAAAGCTAAAAAACACCCAAGCGTAACAACAGATGATGCAACATTATCCGTACAGTTCTGCAACATGAGTTTAATTCCTGCCTACAGCTAAGCATCGGTGACGAGTTATATCCGAACTGGTCCTGGGTATCCCTTTAGCAGCAGCCACAATGATTGACCAGGTGAGGAATTAATCATTTGGCAGAGGATTGACAAAGAGTTGCAATATGATTTTATGTCAATACTACAATCAAATTGCATTTCTACTAATAGAAATAAATGTGTTACCAATTCCTGACGACTCTTAGAATCTGTGAAATTAAATGGCTCATCATCCTCCGAAATCGTCATCAGCACTATCATCACATTGACATTGTCATCACTTTCATCCATTGTATACCCACTGCTGGATGATGGTCATCATCCCTAACAGCACACTGGCACCACAATCATTCTCAGTAATGTATGTCAAAGAATCTCTGTTCCATCTCTGGGGTAATCATCATCGCAATGTACCTCTTTATCACGACAGACATTTGGAAATTGGGGACATTTGCTGGAATAATGATCTTATCCATGAAACAGCCATAAATAATTATGAATCTTTACCACCACTAATATCCGTTTTCACAGATTGTGTCCAGCTATGGATAATGGTAATCGTGGATAAGAGGCGTTTCTGCATCTATACCACCATTGTGAAAATTTGAATAAACTTGATTTTTTTTCACTCAAACCAGCGAGGGGAAGTAGTTAACCAACTTATATTCCTGTGCCGGAGGTAAAACTTTCACAGTCATATGCTGTGAGTTTATCAACCGACATATGTAATAACATTTAAAATATATACCATAACAGACAACTTGTCATAAACCCAACAAGGCTACATAAAAATACGGACAGTGATAGTGCAGTCGAATCAGGCCTTACACAATACAACTGTAAAAGCTGTGCTGGAAATATATTTCCATGGCAGAGCTGAACCTTCTAAAGGATGCCTTGCATTAAAAACGTTATAGAAATAACATTCTAACTATAATCAATTAATACAGTATACGACTGTAGAAAATACGTGATACATGCTCCAGAAGCAGGACGTACATTAAGGATAAAACATTAAACCAGTGGCGAAGATTCTAATATGGCTTTGGCAACCCTTGCCTAAACAATTTGACTTGAACATAATTGCTTGTACCGTAATCAATATTCACACTGTAATAATTAAAATCATATAAATGTACAACCCTTTCTTAATCCACTGCTGTATTACACCAAGTCATGATAATGTTTGTACAACCCCCTGAAGTCACTTTGGATGACACCAAAAATGTACAATCCGTTTTTACATCAACTGCTGGATGAAATCAATACTATGGCGCAACCCTGTTTCAATCCACTGCTGGTCTACACCAACAATAATAATCAACAACCACTTGTCAATCTACTGCTGAATGACACAAACATTTGGATGTTCATTTATCGAATTAAAAAACCATCCCAGACTCTTGCGGTCTCCAACCGTGCTGGACTGGCAGCTCCCCCCGGGGCCTAGCAACCAGGCCCCGGGCAAAATTCCAGACAACACCGGTGACCCCGGGAAAACAGCGAACAGGCCTCACAATGTCGCCGACTCAAGGCACATCGTGAGCATCATCATAAACACCACCACCAACCACCACGACCGCCAAACACAATCCGGACACAATCGTTGCAGCTGTCACCTCGATTATCTCCTGGCAGAGTTCGAAGTCGCAGACTTCACAGCGAAGGCGCCATTGCCAACCTCCAGGTGAAGGAGACGCGACGTGGACTTTAATCGCTCACCGACGGCAAGCGCATCAGCTCATTCCGGGACAATAGACACCGTGAAGACGCCGTAATTGCGAGGGAGGATGCGTGGGGTGGGTGAGGGGAGAAACGGCGCCTTTCAGCAGCTACAGAGGCGTGAAGGAAGCCGCTTTGACTTGAGCTCTCGGCGACGTCAGCAGTAAGGACGTGTTTATGGGATCCGTGTCCGGCGAGGCTTTTGCATTTCCTAGTCAGCATGGGCGAGCCGAGGCGCGCCGCGCTCGCTGATTGGTGGGCGCGCGCCGCGAGCGGAGGCTCTCAGCCAATGGGGCGGCGCGACACGGAAGGGCGCGCCCGTGCGGGGTGGGAATTGTGGGAGCCGCCGCGGTCGCCTCCTCCTCCTCCTCCCGGAGCTGACTGTGAAAGCGCCACATGTACACACAGCACACACACACATAGCGCACACACACACACACAGCACACACACACATAGCGCACACACACACACACAGCACACACACAGCACACACACACAGCACACACAGCACACACACACATAGCGCACACACACATAGCGCACACACACACATAGCGCACACACACACACACAGCACACACACACATAGCGCACATACACACAGCACACACACACAGCACACACAGCACACACACACACACATAGCGCACACACACAGCACACACACACAGCACACACACACACATAGCGCACACACACACACAGCACACACACACACATAGCGCACACAGCACACACACACATAGCGCACACAGCACACACACACACATAGCGCGCACACACACACAGCACACACACAGCACACACATAGCACACACACACATAGCGCACACACACACATAGCACACACACACACACATAGCGCACACACACAGCACACACACACAGCACACACACACAGCACACACACATAGCGCACACACACAGCACACACACACAGCACACACACACAGCACACACACACATAGCGCACACACAGCACACACACACACATAGCGCACACACACACATAGCGCACACACACATAGCGCACACACACACATAGCGCACACACACACATAGCGCACACACACACATAGCGCACACACACACATAGCGCACACACACATAGCGCACACAGCACACACACACACAGCACACACACACACATAGCACACACATAGCGCACACACACACAGCACACACACACACAGCACACACACATAGCGCACACACACACATAGCGCACACACACACACAGCACACACACACACAGCACACACACACACAGCACACACACACACATAGCGCACACACACACATAGCGCACACACACAGCACACACACACAGCACACACACACACAGCACACACACACACACAGCACACACACATAGCACACACACACACACAGCACACACACACACAGCGCACACACACAGCACACACACACAGCACACACACACATAGCGCACACACACACACAGCACACACCCAGCACACACACACAGCACACACACAGCACACACACACAGCGCACACACACACACAGCGCACACACACACACAGCGCACACACACATAGCGCACACACACACACACAGCACACACACAGCACACACAGCACACACACAGCACACACACACAGCGCACACACACACACAGCGCACACACACACAGCGCACACACACACAGCGCACACACACACAGCACACACACAGCACACACACACAGCACACACACACAGCACACACACACAGCACACACAGCACACACACATAGCGCACACACATAGCGTACACACACACATAGCGCACACACACACAGTACACACACACAGCACACACACACACACATAGCGCACACACACAGCACACACACACACAGCACACACACACACAGCACACACACACAGAGCACACACACACACTCAGCACACACACACTCAGCACACACACACATAGCGCACACACACATAGCACACACACACACTCAGCACACACACACACACAGCACACACACACAGCACACACACACACAGCACACACACAGCACCGACACAGCACACACACACATAGCGCACACACACATAGCGCACACACACACACATAGCGCACACACACACACATAGCGCACACACACACATAGCGCGCACACACACATAGCGCACACACACACAGCACACACTCATAGCGCACACACTCAGCACACACACAGCACTCACACTCAGCGCACACACACTCAGCACACACACACTCAGCACACACACACTCAGCACACACACACTCAGCACACACACACATAGCGCACACACACTCAGCACACACACACTCAGCACACACACACTCAGCACACACACACATAGCGCACACACTCATAGCGCACACACACACATAGCGCACACACACAGCACACACACACAGCACACACACACAGCACACACACACACATAGCACACACACACACATAGCGCACACACACAGCGCACACACACATAGCGCACACACACACAGCACACACTCATAGCGCACACACTCAGCACACACACAGCACTCACACTCGGCACACACCCTCAGCACACACACACAGTGCACACACACTCAGCACACACAGCGCACACACACTCAGCACACACACACATAGCGCACACACTCATAGCGCACACACACACATAGCGCACACACACTCAGCACACATACACACATAGCACACACACTCAGCACACACACACACATAGCGCACACACACACACATATAGCGCGCACACACACACATAGCGCACACACACACACACGCACACAGAACACACACACATAGCGCACACAGAACACACACACATAGCGCACACACTCAGCACGCACACACTCAGCACACACACACTCACAGCACACACACAGCACACACACTCAGCGCACACATACTCACAGCACACACACAGCACACACACACATAGCACACACACACTCAGCACACACACACTCACAGCACACACACAGCACACACAACACACACACTCAGCACACACACACAGCACACACACACAGCACACACACACAGTACACACACACTGAGCACACACACATAACACACACACGCACATAGCGCACACAGCACACACACATAGCGCGCGCACACATAGGACACACACAGCACACACACACTCAGCACACACTCAGCGCACACAGCACACACACAGCGCACACAGCACACACACACACGCGTGCGTGTTGCAGTGTAAACACACGTGTGAGCAATGGCAAGTTTGTACAAGTTGCCTACATGGCTCCACCTGATTCGCTTAAGACCTTAAGTAGTGTCGTGGTTATTTTGGTGGTCCGGATTATAAGACGCACACCAAACTTTAACAGGCTATAAGGGGCAAGTGCTGAGACCCTTAGGAAAATCAGACGCACTCAGCGCACACAGCACACACACACAGCACACACACACAGCACACACACACTCAGCGCACACAGCACACACACACAGCACACACACACAGCACACACACACTCAGCGCACACAGCACACACATAGCACACACACACAGCACACACACACTCAGCGCACACAGCACACACACACACAATCAGCACACACACACTCAGCGCACACAGCACACACATAGCACACACACACAGCACACACACACTCAGCGCACACAGCACACACATAGCACACAGCACACTCAGCGCACACAGCACACACACACAGCACACAGCACACTCAGCGCACACAGCACACACACACAGCACACACACACAGCACACACACACTCAGCGCACACAGCACACACACACACAATCAGCACACACACACACACTCAGCGCACACACACACAATCAGCACACACACACTCAGCGCACACAGCACACACACACACAATCAGCACACACACACTCAGCGCACACAGCACACACACACACAATCAGCACACACACACTCAGCGCACACACACAGCACACAGCACACACACACACAATCAGCACACACACACTCAGCGCACACAGCACACACACACACAATCAGCACACACACACTCAGCGCACACAGCACACACACACACAATCAGCACACACACACTCAGCGCACACACACAGCACACAGCACACACACACACAATCAGCACACACACACTCAGCGCACACACACTCAGCGCACACACACTCAGCGCACACAGCACACACACACAGCACACAGCACACACACACTCAGCGCACACACACTCAGCGCACACAGCACACACACACAGCACACAGCACACACACACACAATCAGCACACACACACTCAGCGCACACAGCACACACACACACAATCAGCACACACACACTCAGCGCACACAGCACACACACACACAATCAGCACACACACACTCAGCGCACACACACAGCACACACCACACACACACACAATCAGCACACACACACTCAGCGCACACAGCACACACACACACAATCAGCACACACACACTCAGCGCACACAGCACACACACACACAATCAGCACACACACACTCAGCGCACACAGCACACACACACACAATCAGCACACACACACTCAGCGCACACACACAGCACACAGCACACACACACACAATCAGCACACACACACTCAGCGCACACACACTCAGCGCACACACACTCAGCGCACACAGCACACACACACAGCACACAGCACACACACACTCAGCGCACACACACTCACCGCACACAGCACACACACACAGCACACAGCACACACACACACAATCAGCACACACACACTCAGCGCACACACACTCAGCGCACACACATAGCACACACACACAGCACACAGCACACACACACAATCAGCACACACACACTCAGCGCACACACACAGCACACAGCACACACAATCAGCACACACACACTCAGCGCACACAGCACACACACACACAATCAGCACACACACACTCAGCGCACACAGCACACACACACACAATCAGCACACACACACTCAGCGCACACAGCACACACACACACAATCAGCACACACACACTCAGCGCACACACACAGCACACAGCACACACACACACAATCAGCACACACACACTCAGCGCACACACACTCAGCGCACACACACTCAGCGCACACAGCACACACACACAGCACATAGCACACACACACTCAGCGCACACACACACAGCGCACACAGCACACACACACAGCACACAGCACACACACACACAATCA